GTTTAGGGTTCTCGGTGTTCCTGGACCTGGATGTCTGTTTCTTTCCCCTGGTTAGAGAAGTTTCCAGCAATTATTTTTTCAAGTAAGTTTTCTGCCCCTTTCTCTCTTCTCCTTCTGGGATCGCTATAATGAAAATGTTAATATGCTTGAAATTGTCCCAGAGACTCCTTAAGCTATTCTTATTTTTGTTTTTAATTCTTATTTCTTTTTGTTCAGTTTGGTTGCTTTCCATTTCCTGCCTTCCACATCGCTCATCCGTTCTTCTGTGTCCTTTAATCTGCTGCTGTTACTCTCTAGTGTTGTTTTCATTTCAGTGACTGTATTCTTCAGCTCTGCTTGGTTCTTTCTTAGATATTCTATCTGTTGAAGTTCTCACTAGGTTCACCCTCTCTTGTTTCAAGTCTGGTGAGCTTCTTGTTGACCATTACTTTGAACTATTTATCAGGTACATTGTTTATCTTGTTCTTTCACTTGGAGTATATTCCTCTGCCTCCTTATTTTGTTTTATTTTATGTATTTGATTCTGTGAATTAGGCAGAACAGCTACTTTTCCTCGTCTTGAAGGATTGGTCTTATGTAGGACTGTCCCATACAGACTGTGTATGCCTGCTGGCTTTGGCTGGCTGGAGCTGTAGTGGGCATGGGCTGGAGTGGGGTCTCTGGGTGTCCCACACAGGGTGTACCCTAGTGGGACATCTGAAGCTGAAGTGGGCGGGGCTGGGGGTGTCCTGGGGCACTCTACATGGGGATTGCCCTGATGGACCAGCTGGAGTCGAAGTGGGCTCAGGCTGGTGGTCCCAGGGCACTCTACACAGTGGGGACCTTAGTAGGAGAATTGAGCTAAAGTTGCTGTGTGCTAGGGGTGTGGGGCTCCCTAAAGTGCTGGCCAGTTAGTTATACCCTGTTCTAGTCTGAGTGATCAGGCAAGTTGGGGGCCATTAACAGGGTGCTCACCAGCCCCTTTGGCCCTGGAATGTGTTCCCACAGGCCTTGGCCGTTTGGCTGAGGGTTAGTTTTCTTTTTATATCCTAGTTGTCTTTTAAACCTCTGCTTTTTTGTGTGTGCCTCAGTGGGGCTTGGGCTGATGTGGGCTAGGGTCCCAGGGTTTAGTGAAGTGCCAGGCCAGCTAGGGTGGCTGTGTCCCACTCCCATCTGTGTGTCAGTGTTGGGCTTGGGGGAGGGAGAGAACATATACAGTGGTACTTGCCAGCCCTCTGACCACTGGAGACTATTTCCTCAAGTCCCAGCTGTTCGGCAGACGCTCAAGGGCTGGTTCCTTTGAATTCTAGTTGCCCTTTGAAACTGAGGCTTTTTTCCATGCCTTAGGGTGGTAGAATCTGTTCCTGGTTCCTTGGTTCTGTTCCTCCCCTCTGCAGTTTGCAGTGTCCAGGTGAGGTTCCTATTGTTACTATGTCTCCATCTCTTCTGTTCTCTTTGTGGTCCCTCTGTCCTTTGTTGCGCAGAAGCTGTTCAGTCAGCCCTCAGTTCTTTTTCCAGAGGAATTACTCTATATGTTGGTGTAGATTTGGTTTGTCCATGGAGGGGAATTCAGGGTCTTCCTCCATCACCATCTTGGACCCTGTCTCCTGAAAGCAAGTCACTGTTTGTATCAGAAAATATTCTAAGGGGTGGTCTGTATTGTCAGAGTGCAGCAAATAAGTGAACTGAAATAATGATTATATCATATTAACAAAGTTTCTGGTTTTGCAAAAATGTTATGCAGTTAGCCAGTTCTGCTTAAGTTGTTTGGCTGATGGCATGGTTTTCTCCTGTATTTGTCAGTGGGTCACTTCTAGATGTTTAAGCTATAGAGGGTTATTTCATGGAATCTTACTCTGAATATCAGACATTAAATGAAGTACATTTGAAAAAGGATTTGTTGAACTTTCGGTGCCTTTTCGCTGAGACACACACAGGTTTTATTGAACAGGTATGCAGTCTCACTTCTGGGTTTGGTTTAACGATGGTAGTGTACTGAGTAGAAGTGTTTAATTCCAGCATTTGGTTTCTCCATTTTCTCATAGATCCAGGCTCTTATATGGTTGGCATGCCAGATGAGGGGAGTGGATGTGTCAAGTGAGCTCATAAAAGGCTGGTGGTTGAGTAGGGGTCATGGTCATTGTGTATCAGAGAAAACAGTGTGGAAATTTTAGTCACAGGGAGGCCTAGGTTCAAATGCCAGCTCATTTACTGTAACTCTTAGTCCCAGTCTCTTTTGTAAAATGGAGTTAGTTATCTAATTTGTAAGGTATTTGAAAAGATTGTGGTGTGAAAAGTACCTGGCATATAGGAAGTGCTCAATAAATAGTGGCTATTAATATTTTCAACAAAGTCCTGAGACTATCACCTCTGATACCAGTGTGTTGTTTCCATTTGTAACTCCTTATATGTGTTGTATGTGCTTGGTAGTCAGTAAATGCTATGTGTCAGTAATTTGGAATTCCAAAATCTGGCTTAAAAAGACTACTACTAACTAAGAGAAGTTATGTATTCATTATAAAAAACATGGCATATGAAACAATTTCAGTAAATAAGGCTTTCAAAGGAATAGGTTGTAGCAGGCATTCTACTATGAACGCATTGACTCTGGAGGGCCACAGAAACCAAGGCATTCCGGAGTTTAGCAGCTTTAGTGTGAGTCCATATTACGGTTTCAGTTAAATAGAAAAGGACTCGGGGGGGGCGCCTGGGTGGTTCAGTTGGTTAAGTGTCCAACTCCTGATCTCAGCTCAGGTCTTGATTTCAGGATTTTGAGTTCAAGCCCTATGTTGGGCTCCATGCTGGATGTGGAGCCTACTTATTAAAAAAAAAAAGGAAATGACTGACATGGTATATTTCTCAAAAGCTACATTGTGTTGCATTGTGTTGTGAATTGTGTTAGAAATGATGACATGTGGTTGCTGTCATCCTAGAGGTGCCACAGGAACCAGCAGGAGGAGGTGTCTGGGGGAGGTGGGATCATTGATTCCTGGTACCAAATGCATAGGCATGGCAGTCAGGAGCAGCATACTGGGTCTGGTAGCGCGGGGTGACACCAGCTCAGGGAAGATAGGTAGAATTTGGCCTTCAGTGCAGTTCAGAAATAATTATAATACTTCACCGCATAGCTTGCATGTGCTGGTTGGGGAGTGGAAGGGAGGTGGGGGTCTGCACAAGAGTCGAGCAGGCCCAGACAGCACGGTGAACTCAGGAGGAGAGGAGAGAGATGGATCAGAGAACATCCTGAGCATCCTGTGATAATTGGATTTGACGAGGGTAGGGAAGAGTGGCAGGTGCAGATGAAGCATTCCATGTTAGACGTGCTGAGTTCTGGGGGCTTGAGGATTTGTTGGAAATAAAGGTACAGCAGACAGTGGGGTAGAGGACTCTGAACCTACCACAGTCTGGGCCAAGAGGAGGATATGACTGGCATCATTAATGTGGAAGATGGGAGCTGAAAACCACAGATGTCTTGAGCTCTCCCAGAAGGAATGTCTGTGTTCCCAAGGGAAGACTCAGACTGAGGACAGAAGTGCCCATGTGAGGGATAAGCAGTGGGGGGGAGCAGCATGAAATAGGAGCTCTTGGGTAGTGAGCTAAATGCTTGTTCTGTTCTTTTAATGGCACATGTTCTTGGCTAAAATGGAAGATGTTTTGGTAAGTTAAGAGTTTGTTCAAACAAAGCTATATTATTTTGGTATTTTCAGGTAACTGTGTACGGAACTGTTTTATTAGTACTGTACTATGTTCTACCCCTTGCTTATTTTTCTATTTCCACTGTAGGCATAGCATTTTAACTGTATCCTTGAAATGAAATCACACAGATAAAAGTGAATTTCTGCAGTTGTGTTTATAATACAAATGATCCTTTTTGTTATTTCCCTTTGAAGGTCTAGTTTTCTGATACATGGGTATTTTACTTTTCATTCACCGATCATTTAACTGAATTCATAGGCCATGCTGTAGAACACTGACAGGGGCTTGAAGAATTGTTTTTATGGCTAGATAGGTCACTGGTGCTCTTCCCTTACTGGTTCCTCTTGATTCCTTGATCTTTTAATGGAGAGGTGACCTATTAGGTGTTAGGCCTTGGACCTATTCTGTGTCTGGATTCGTTCTTTGGGGAGGGGAGGGGTCTTAGGCCTATGGCCTTAAATATCATCTATACATGGATGAATTTATATCTCCATTTTCGACCTCTCCTCTAAATTCCAGACTTTATATACTTCTTACTCCATGTTAACGGGCATCTTCAGCATGATAGGTCCAAATCCAGACTCCTGCACTGCCCCAAAGCACTCTTTCTGCAGCCGGACCCACGGTAGCTCATGGCAGCTCAGTCTTCCATTGGTTTCAGGCAGAAATCTCTCAGTCATTCTTGACTGTTCATTTCCCCCACGTCAGCACCTCCACTGCCACCACCCTGCTCAGCTCTTTCTCACAGTAGCCTCCCAACTGGTGTCTCTGTTTCCCCTCTTGTCCCTGTAGTCTGTTCTCAGATCAGCAGTCACAGTAGTGAGTCAGACACCCTTCTGGGAACTCCAGGGACTCCTAATTTTATGGAGAATAAAAGTCCAAAGGTCTTAAAATGGCTACAGGCTCCAGCCTCATTTCCTGCTACTTTTCTCACTTGTTCCAGGCACACTGGTCTCCTCACCCAGCCCTCTCAACAGGCCAAGCCCCCTGCTACCACCTCTGTACTCGTCCACCTCCTCCACTCCTGTGTCCAGACTCCCCTCTGCCTGAATGCTCTGCCCCACCTCATTCCCATCCCCACCCTTGGGTCTTGACCCAGATGTTTCCTTCGTAGGAGTATCCTATTTAATACTGCATTTCAACTTTGTATTTTCTGTCCTTCTTACTGCTTAATTTTTCTCCATAATGCCATCTGACAACTCCAGCTAGATCGAAGGCAGAGATCTGTTTTGTTCACCGCTTGGTAAACAGAAGGTAGTCAGTAAATATTTAATATGGAATTAACTTTATTGTATTATGAAAGAAATTTTAACTTTGCTCTTCAGGTTTATCTCTAACAAGTATTTAGTGAAACGGCAAAGCAGAGACTATGATGTGGAGTGGGGCTATGCCTTCGATGTGCATCTGAATGCTTTTTATCCTCTCTTAGTCATTCTGCATTTTATCCAGCTTTTCTTCATTAACCGTAAGTAGCAGTTACTTTTTAAACGATCATCAAAAAGTCACCATTGTATGCACTAAAAAGAGATTCAGTGTGCATATCTCTTCCACAGATGTTATCCTGACAGACACATTTATTGGATATTTTGTTGGAAATACCTTGTGGTTGGTGGCAGTGGGCTATTATATCTACGTAACCTTCTTAGGATACAGTGGTAAGTCATGAATTGTTTTGATTGAGTGAAGACATAACAGGGAGAGGGGGGACGTTGCTGTAATAGTAACATAATTAGCTTACTTTTAGATGAATTATCTCATTTAAGCTTCACAATTAGGTTTACTTAACCCCATTTTTCAGATGAGGGCACAGAAATTAATTTGCCCCTGGTCGTGCAGCTAGAAAGTGGCATGGCTGTTATGTAACAAATTTTGTAATTTTAAGGAGCCCCATTAAACCATATTGATATCTCCAAGTTACTTGCAGGAACCCACAACCCACTTCCTTTTCTCCCTGGCTTTCTGGTTCTGGGTCCCAGTGGCCCATTAGTGTGGGGCATGAGCGGGTCCAACGTATGGTTGCATAGGTAAAGGAACCTTTACAAACCTTTGCTTCACTTTGTTTTTATGATCACTGTGTGGTTCTATAGATGGTCACAAATCAGACCCAACCTCTACTGATCTGAGGATGTAGTTTGCAGATTTACTGCTAAATCCTGCTAGAAGTTTCTTTTTCTTAGTATGAATGAGAAACCTTTATATTAATTCAGCTTGTCCTTTCTTGTCACTCTGGATGATTAGGACCTCCCTGTAAATACACACCCCTGGTGCTCAAATATGACTGGCTCCTCTAGTCAGAGGTGTTCTCACCCCAGCAGGGACCACACTTGTTCTGGACACAGGGAGTCCGTTCTCCAGAGGAGGTGTTTGTGAAGTATTATGTTCAGGTTTCTATGAATTTTCACATATTTTGAGAAAGTTTTAAATTGTGATTAGCATGCTTCAACATTGTGGTTTCTCTAAATGGATTTTTGAGCACTCTTTTGATAACTCCCTATAATTTGAGTACAGCTCAGCTTCACTTTGGTGACTTCCTAGAAGAGATATGTTTAGGTTAGAATGCATGTGGTAGGGACCCACTAAGTAGTGACCAAGAAGGAAACCTAGATATTTGGAGACTGATTTTTTTTATTATTATTTTTTAAATTTATTTAAAGTAGGCTCCACACCCAATGTGGGGCTTGAACTCACGACCCCCAAGCTCAAGAGTTGCATGCCCTACTGACGGAGCCAGGCAGGCACTTGAGGGACAGATTTATTCTTTCCTGAAGCCTGGGATACTTACTAGTTGATCTCTCATGTGAAGGGGAGGTGTCATGCTTCCTGTATTGGGAAATCTCCAAGACTAAAGGTTGGACTCTTAGAGGCTTCTGAGGCAGTCCCCTGTGTAAATCCACCACTGTTTTCAATATTTGTGCCCTCTGTCCCTTAGTCATCACTTCTCAAGTTTCGAATCTGCTGCTCACCTCTCACCCCGGGTTCCTGGGCACAGCTGCGATGTGGTGGCGGCAGCGACCCCCAAGAGCAGGGCGCGTGACAGACTCTGGCTTTAGAGCAGTAGCTCACTGATTCAGAACCCGCGTTGCTTTTTGGCCCCACCTGTTGTAGTAAAAACTTTCAGAAAGTTCATTAGTCACATTTCCTTTTTTAAAAAAATTTATTTGATTTGTTTCTTTTCCAGCATTGCCATTTTTGAAAAATACAGTAATTCTTCTTTATCCATTTGCACCTCTCATTCTGCTCTACGGCCTGTCACTAGCGCTAGGATGGAACTTCACCCACACACTGTGTTCCTTCTACAAGTACAGAGTGAAATGAAGGCAGTCTTGGTGAAGTGACGACTGCTTCCGAAACTGGTAAATAAACTATCTTGGTAGATATCTTCAGGGTGTAAAGTTTGCAAATTTGAGTCAATATATAACGTTAACGCTATTGTCAAGTACATTCCGTAAAACTAATTAATGTACATTTCTATAATAAATATTTTTTAAACTAAAGCATGTATTTTACTCATTCAAACATGGTGATAATCAGTTCCTGACAAGGTACGTAGTTTGGCCCCATTTCAATGGGCTGTGTATTTTAAACATTTGCCTAGTGTAACCTTCAAAAGCCTCCTTGACCTGTAATGTAACTCAAAGGCGAATCACTGTACTATAGGCCATAAAATCATTTACAACATTTTCTATACAAAGGAAACCCAAACAAAATAAAACCCAAACAAAATATATTCGATTGAAGAGGCGCATGGTGGCTCCTCGGTGTACGTAATAGACATTGAACACTTGCATAACACTGATAATCAGTGTCTTAACATGAAGGCTCTTTTTAGACCTCTCCAAAAAATAGTTTTAAGTAAACTTTATCAGTGTTGAAACTAATAATAACAAAACTTGCTCCTCATTTTTACCTATTTTTATTAGAAGGAATCTTGAATTCAACATGGCTTCTTAAACGTCTTTATTCCAAACACATAAACGGTTGTGGCACAGAGAAAACAACAATAATGAAAGGCACAGTCAACAGGACCAGTTATTAGGTTTTCAATTATAGCAGCAAATTTGAAAATAAATAATCTTCCCTTAAAAACCTTAACAGGTACCTAAAATATTACTACAGATACTACCCATTCACCCAATGAAAACATTTTAAGGAAAATATGTACAATACATTTAAGGAGGAAAAAAAAAATCTGGTACAGCCTGGAAAAGCAATTCCTCAGGCACCTTCTCTAAGGAGTGCTTCCAGAAACATCCGTGACCTTTCCAAACAGTGTTCTTTATGAGAAACACGTTAGTTTTTTATTCCATAAATGAAACATAATTATTTTCAGTCAGCTGATTTCTAAGTCTTTCTTAGAAAACATCTCTGTCTTCACTGAAATGAAAAATATCAAATCTGCTGGCCTAGCATCTTACAGTACTGTCGATATCAGCCATTTTTAAGGCTCAAATAGGTCTTCAAAAGGTATTTTCACCCAATTTCAGCAAACTGAGCATTTCAAATAATGGAAGGCTAATCATACTAAAGTACCGAAGCTTTGACTCTAATACCAAAAAACAACTAGGAGCAAGTGATACATAAAGTAGCCTCCCTAATGTCCAAGAGTATCATTAAATATTCCCCACAACAAACAATCCTTATTTGGAGAACAATTTTAGCACCACTATTAACATTTTTACTGCAATGTGAACAACACCGGGAATGATACTTGGCACAAAGTGCTTTCCCATTCAATACCCAGCTTACTTTCTTGAACAATGTCTTCTAAATTCTTAACACGCATACACACATGCATGCACACACATACACATGCTCACACGCACACAGCCAGCTCTTTCCTGTTTGTTCCCGTGAACATGATCTAGTTAGTGCCCAAAAAGGTGGGGTGTTTCAGGCAAGAAGAGGTTATATATAGGTACTGATGATAGGGATATATATAACAAATTTTTTTTTAATATGGTCGTAGTCTTCAGCATTGTATGTTCACATGCATTAAAGAAATAAAGTAAGCCTACTAGTTATCATGGCATATATCAAGATTAATAATTAAAATTGTACAGCTATCAAATTTCACACACTATAAATAATGCTACACAGCTTGGAAAAGTTTCCTTTTCTATAAAAGAAAGAGCTGGGATATCTGGGTTCCCCTAGAACACAAAGATGATTTGGACTCCAATTTCTGACTTTCTGACAGTCTTAGCCTCTCATTTTCTTCCCTTTAGCTCTCTGCTGTTCTTCTATCAAGGGTATGGCAATATAGTAAAAATAAGTACAAAAATTAATCTACAAACCAAAATAAAAACAAGCTCATTAGCATTAATGGCTTGGAAGGAGAGAAGTATTTTGGAAAACACCCACGAAGTACAAAAATTTGGTTGGCACATACAGGATTTGATCTGTTCTTACACAATAAAGTAAGTTTTGGGTTAAAAAAAAAGTATGTTCTTCAATGCAGAGTAGATTATCTGATTTCTACGAAAAGGCAGAAATTTTTTTCTCTCCTAATATCTTATTTAAAGTACCACTGTTCATCGTTCTTAAATAATATACTGAACAAGCTCAGAGCAGAATAAATCAGCACAAAGTAATACCTCTCCGAGGAAAAAGATTCCATATACACTGGTTCCTCGTTCTGGAATGAGAACAATCCTGTTCTAGTTTTTTTTTTTTTTTTTTTTTTTTACAAAACATTGCTAAGATACTCCCAAGTTTTTGGCAACAAACTTCCAATCAAGACTACTTGAGATTCTCAGGGAGAGAAACCCCAGCGGTGGCCCAGGTGTAAGTTTGCTAGTGTAAGACTTGACTCCCGTGGTTATTAACATCTCCAAGCTAACTATAGGGAATCAAGTAGGAAGACTTTTCCTCCTCACCTCTTTTAAATACTATATTCATTCTCTATTGCTGCATAACAAATCACCACGAATTCAGAGGCTTAAAACAATACCTATTTATTATCTCACAGTTCTGCAGACCAGAAGTCAGGGCGGGCTTGGTTGGAGTCCTCTGCATAGGATCTCACGAGGCTTGAGTCACGGTGTTGGCGGGGCTGGGCTCTCATCTGCTGGAGAAGACTCTAGTTGCAAGCTCCCTCAGTTTGTTGACTGATCAAGTTCCTGTGGCTGTAGGGCTGTAGTTCTGGGTCCCGTGGCTGTTGGCGGAGGTTTCTCAGCTCCTGACAGGCCATTTCTTCTCCTGCAGCCCCTCCATCTTAAATCAGCAGTGGTGCCTCGAGTCCTCCTGCTTTGAATCTGACTTATGCTACCAGCCTAAGAAAACTCTGCTTTTAAAGGGCTCACAGGGTTAGATTAGCTGAACATGATTATGGGTGAGATTCATGGCTTCCACCCACATGCAAAAGGGGAGGATCTCATCTACGGTACCTGAAGGTCACCTGGAGAATTCTGGCTACTACAAATACACAATGCCATTAATGAGAGCAATCGCTCCAAACATGCTGTTTCCGTATTAACCAAACTTGCCTTTGAGGACAGCACTGTTGGGAGACCACCTTTTCGTGACAATAACAGATCGAAAAGAAGCCTTCAGAACGTTGCTGAAGAAAACTTTGAGATAAGGACACCTTCTGATCACTTACTGGTGCAACCCCTGATCTGAAAAGCCGTACCTTTTCCAAAGACCTCTCTGTGGCTGAATTAATATACACATACGTGTCTACAGCCTGCCTGCCAGATCATCCACACGCACTTTTTCCAAAAGCTTTTCAATCTCACTGCCTGAAACCACTGTTCTTGTTTGACGACATGGTAGGACCCCGTGTGTGTGTAAAGAGCACATGAGACTTAGAGAACTCAGAAATCTGGGGTCTTAGAATCCCAGACACAGTCCTCAACCTTCTCACCTACAATACTCATCATCTGCACTGTGATATATTCTGCATGTCTGCTTTTATCCTCCTCGTCAGAATTCATTACTCTGGTTTCGCCAGTGTCCACATTAGCACTCCTTACACAGTGCTGTCCCAACAGAACCTTCTGCAGGGACAGAAGGTTCTCTATCTGTGCCCTCCAGTCCGAGGGCCACGAGCCACATGTGGCTGATGAGCACTTGAACTGTAGCTAGTGTGACTAAGGAGGTGAAGGTTTTATTAATTTAAACTTAAACAGCCACCATGTGTCTACTGGCTACTGTATAGGACAGCACGGCTCTAGAGTCTGACAGTTTATGTGAAATACATACCAGATGCAAACCAGGTTTCATTTATGTCTATATAGTAATAATTAAATACTGGACACCAACTGGACACTGTCCCCACTCCCTATTCTGATAAAAGTGGTTCAGTGTCCTCTTGAGGCCAAGTATATCCTTCCCTCAGTCCCAGGTACTCTTCACCTCCTCTACCGTTCTGTCCCCAGACTTCACCCAACTACTCTCAAGGGCTACCCCTACAGTGTCTTGCTTGAGGAAAGCATGGCGGTTTCTAATGGTCTAGAAAGGAAGTGGGGGCAGGGATAGACCAACAATGAGATGATTGGGGAGCACCTGCTGCACCAGAAGATAGACAGGAAGGATGAGTTACAGGCCTACCCCAGGAGCTTGAAGCCTGGTTGGTGGGAGAATGTGCGCACACATACACACACACTCGCCAGGAACAACCAAAAACTCAGCAGCTGAGTGCGTATGTAAATGTGTGGCAAGGAACGTAGGGAGTTGAAAAGAAAGGAGTGTGGGCTGGGACAGTTGGTCCCCTCATCCAGCCCCGGACTGGGCACCTGCCACATGCTAGGCACTATTCCTGGCATGACTAGGCACTGGTAACACTTCATGGGAGGAGTGCACGAGAGAGTCTGTGAAAGGTGGGTGAGATTTGGCTCAAAAGTATTCTCAGGAACAGGAGGGGAGAGCTAAGCCTGGGAGGGGAGACTGAGCAGAACAGGAAGAAGCTGGCTAGTACGGCTCACCAGTCTTAAGACTGAGCAGCCCTCACTAAAGGCAAGGAGGTAACCGTCACCTCCCTGATCTTCAGTGCATGGTCCTTCTCCCCCAAATCAGAGTGGGCTACTGTGGAAGGGAAATGAGAGGACTTCTCAACCCACCCCAGAGCTTTCCCTCCTGACACTTGGCTGGTCTAGCAGTCAGCATGTTCAACAGCTGCCAAAGTTTTATAATGAAAGGTCATTCTTTTCAAATGAAATGGGCCTGTGGGTATCAGGCCAGGGAAATGTGAGGACAAAATAAAAAGTAAATTAAAGAAAGTGAAATCTAAAAAACCCAGCAAAAATGTTTCACTAGACTTGGACATAAAAATTATTCATGGCAATGTGTAACTTTTTAATCAAGGAAAGTAACTGACATGATTCCAGTAGGAGTAATGGAAAGAACTGTACCCTATCCATGTTTCCCAACATTTTTCACTCCATCATACTGTACAGAAAACAAGGCTCTCTGGAAGCTCTTTGTTCAGCATCCTGGGTAACCGCGGGAAGCTCCTCTAGGCAAGGGACAACTAGCCGGCACCTCCAGCCCCTGGAGGCCTCAGCCACTGGCTAGTCCGAGAGCTCAGGGGATCAATCTCTGCACATCTCTCTGGAATCCACCTGCAACCCCCCGAAACTGATGCTGATCATTTTGGAACTTCTTAAAAGACTTTTGTAAAGATCACTGATTGCTAAGGCTGATAGTATTTTTGTTTACAGTAGTAATAACATTTGGAATTGCATGATTAAGAGCAATAAGTACTCTTCAGATATGAATTTACCTGTAAGTTCATAATGCCAACAGAATAAATCATTTTGCAAAAACATACAGCTGCTACAGTACCTCTCCCTAAAAACCAGTATTACAATTTTTTCTGTAAAATTCAATGATTTTGACTCAAACAGTAACATTACCTAGAAAACATTTTGTCAGAACTCATTAAATGGGTGCAGATATAAAAGGATCAACAAGAGAGAATGCATCTAACTCATGGATCAAAGACAGATTTAAAAAGAAAAAAGAGTTTGTCATTTTACACATCAGAGGGAATGAGTTGAGTCCATGATAATTTGGGTTGAATGCATGACCCCTGCACATTAAAATTTATCAGACTGATTTTTTACACCATAAACAGCATAATAAAATAACCCTCAAGAAGGACATTGGTCTTTAAAATCTTGGCTTTAAGGAATGACAAATGCCTTTGAAAATATTTTGTTCAGAATCACTGCAATTATAAAAGTACTTCAGTTAGGAAATCAATCTAGAATCATTCTTAAATGGCAGTGCATTTGAAAAATGGCATTAATTTGTAATGTTTGCATTTCCAAAGAAAAATATAGAAAGAACTTAAAAAAGCAAGGTAACTTTTCAAAAAAAGTATTGATTCAAAAATTTACTGCACAAAAATATGTACTTCTTAAATGTTTCTAATAAATTAACTCCATAACATTTTTATGTATATTTATATATTTATATATATATAATCCCTGATAATCTATAAAAGAGGGTCTATAATAGTAAAATAAATGAACTTCAAAAGTACCCCCTTCATAAAATGTATTTAACATTAATTTTTCTCAAATTTAAGGAATGTAACAATATGTACAACTCTTATGTATTAGTATAATACCAAAATAGTACAAGTCATATTAACAGCCTGTCATAACTGTAAAATGTTTGAGTCAAGTTAAAATTGGAGGACAGCTTAGGTTCGAATGAATGCAATTATCCATGGGAGGTTCACTTTCCAAGTGGAAATGACAATCATCTTATCTACAGTAGATTTCACAAGAGGTAGTGTTCAAGTAAAAAAAAAAAAAGTACATGCTTAATTATCTTTAATTAACAAATTCACAGGGAAAAAATGTACTGGTTTCTTAGCAGATGATCAGTTGGTGACTTTTTTAATATGAATCTGAAATACAAAATTAACAAGAAGTACAATAAAGGCCTTACGCATGAAATCAAAATGTGGTAAAAAACAAAACAACAACATACCATCTAAGCTGTGTCACGGATCGCACATATTGTCTTACCTCATTAAGAATGGCCCAAACGGCAGAATTCTGAATAACTGAAAGTCGAAAGGCTGAAATGGGGTTTAGACTGGGATCCACCATTCCTTCGGCAACACCATTCTCAAATTTTCCTTCAAAATAAAAATGAACATGTGTTGGGTAGGCTGAAATCAGCACACATAAAATATCACAGACTTAAAACAGGGAAGAAAAACACCAAAACACTTCCAGTGGAGGTCGTCAGACACGGCCTGGGTGAATTTTTCCCCTTCTTTCTACTTTTATTCAACGTTCAAATTTCTCATGAAGTGTATGCTTACATTAGAAGCAACCTATTAAGAGAGGCAGAGCTATACTCTTTCTTACTGCAAATTAAATGTAACATTCTATATAGATATAGATATATATACCTATATCTATATATATATGTTCTTGCATCAAAAATATTTTAACATGCAGGTTTTTAACAAAATGTGACTTAACCAAAGTATACTCTGTACCATCACTCAGTCCAACCCTTTGAGGGTTAAGTCAGTAATAACAAATTTCAATGCTTTCAGACATACATAAAATGGTTGGCCTCGAACAGGGGCTCAATCTTTATGTATCCTTTCCCTTATCACATCTAGAAGGGATTAAGAAGTGATACTTCCTCCAGGAGGTTCTAATAGAAAACTGCCATTACAAATGACAAGCTGAAAAAGCTCTCCTTAAGGATAGGACCAAGAAGTTCTATAAAAAGGTAGCATGTGCTAGGGAGAGGAGCAAGATGGCAGAGGAGTAGGAGACCTAAATTTCGTCTGGTCCCAAGAATTCAACTAGATAGGGATCCAACCATTCTGAACACCTATGAACTCAACAGGAGATCAAAGAAAAGAATAGCAGCAACTCTCTGAACAGAAAAGCGACTACTTTCTGGTAGGTTTCTTCTGATTTGTTTAGCATATATTTTTCTGTGGTCGTTGTTACCCTGTTAGCATTTTTGTTCTCTCATTCATCTATTCTCCTCTGGACAAAATGACAAGACAGAAAAAAATCACCTCAAAAAAAAAGAACAAGAGGCAGTACCGACTGCTAGGGACCTACTCAATATGGACATTAGTACGATGTCAGAACTAGAATTCAGAATGACGATTATAAAGATACTAGCTGGGGGCGCCTGGGTGGCTCAGTTGGTTAAGCGACTGCCTTCGGCTCAGGTCATGATCCTGGAGTCCCGGGATCGAGTCCCGCATCGGGCTCCCTGCTCGGCAGGGAGTCTGCTTCTCCCTCTCATGCTCTCTGTCTCTCATTCTCTCTGTCTCAAATAAATAAATAAAATCTTTAAAAAAATAAAAAAATAAAAAAATAAAGATACTAGCTGGGCTTGAAAAAAGCGTGGAAGATATTAGAGACACCCTTTCTGGAGAAATAAAAGAACTAAAATCTAACCAAGTCGAAATCAAAAAGGCTATTAATGAGGTGCAATCAAAAATGGAGGCTCTAACTGCTAGGATAAATGAGGCAGAACAGAGAATTAGTGATATAGAAGACCAAATGATGGAAAATAAAGAAGCTGAGAAAAAGAGAGATAAACAACTACTGGATCACGAGGGCAGAATTCTAGAGATAAGTGATACCATAAGACGAAACAATATTAGAATAATTGGGATCCCAGAAGAAGAAGAAAGAGAGAGAGGGGCAGAAGGTATATTGGAGCAAATTATAGCAGAGAACTTCCCTAATTTGGGGAAGGAAACAGGCATCAAAATCCAGGAGGCACAGAGAACCCCCCTCAAAATCAATAAAAATAGGTCAATACCCTGACATCTAATAGTAAACCTTACGAGTCTCAGAGACAAAGAGAAAATTCTGAAAGCAGCTCGGGAGAAGAGATCTGTAACCTACAATGGTAGAAACATTAGATTGGCAACAGACCTATCCACAGAGACCTGGCAGGCCAGAAAGGACTGGCATGATATATTCAGAGCACTAAATGAGAAAAATATGCAGCAAGATTACTATATCCAGCTAGGCTGTCATTGAAAATAGAGGGAGAGAGAAAAAGCTTCCAGGACAAGCAAGAACTAAAGGAATTTGCAAACACAAAACCAGCCCTACAAGAAATACTGAAAGGGGTCCTCTAAGCAAAGAGAGAGTATGGAGGTTCCTCAAAAAGTTGAAAATAGAGCTACCATACGACCCAGCAATTGCACTACTGGGTATTTACCCCAAAGAAACAAATGTAGGGATCCAAAGGGGTATGTGCACCCCGATGTTAATAGCAGCAATGTCCACAATAGCCAAACTGTGGAAAGAGCCAAGATGTCCATCAACAGATGAATGGATAAAGAAGATGTAGTATATATACACGATGGAATATTATGCAGCGATCAAAAGGAATGAAATCTTGCCATTTGCAACGACGTGGATGGAACTGAAGGGTATTATGCTAAGCGAAATAAGTCAATCAGAGAAAGACATGTATCATATGATCTCACTGATATGAGGAATTCTTAATCTCAGGAAACAAACTGAGGGTTGCTGGAGTGGTGGGGGGTGGGAGGGATGGGGTGGCTGGGGGATAGACATTGGGGAGGGTATGGGCTATGGTGAGCGCTGTGAATTGTGTAAGACTGTTGAATCACAGACCTGTACCTCTGAAACAAATAATACATTATATATTAAAAAAAGAAAATAGGAAAGGAAAAATGAAGGGGGGGTGGAATCAGAGGGGGAGACGAACCATGAGAAACTATGGACTCTGAGAAACTGAGGGTTCTAGAGGGGAGGGGGGTGGGGGAATGGGTTAGCCTGGTGATGGGTATTAAAGAGGGCATGTACTGCATGGAGCACTGGGTGTTATACACAAACAATGAATCACAGAACACTACATCAAAAACAAATGATGTAATGTATGGTGATTAATATAATTTTCAAAAATGTTGCATGTGCTATATCCAATTTTTCTTGCTGTGAGGAATATTCTTAAAACCACAACAAAATGCTATTGAAAAAGTGACAGAAAAAAAGGGTTTGTTCTTGGCCACATTTCTCTAAGCCAGGAGCTGGCAACCCTTTTCTTATTTATAAAGGGCAGATGGTAAATATTTTGGGCTTTGTGGGCCAAGAGGAAAAGTGAAGATACCAGGTTGGTACTTATACACGGAAAGAGAAAAAATCTCCACAAAATTTTTATTGATGAAATTCAAATTATAAGAACAACCATGGAGTACTTCTGTTTTTTGTTTTTTGGGGGTTTTTTTGTTTGTTTTTTGTTTTTTTGCTAATGCAGGTGTATCAAGGAGAACAGAATTCCTTTTGGGGTGGGGGTGGGGTTAACATTTCAGTTACCTGGGATTCAAAATGATCCTCCTCTGATTATAAAAAAAAAAAAAAAAAATCTATTGTAAATGTTCATCTGTTCATGTGGATCCATGTATTTTATCTTGAATATTTCACACAGCCTAGATACTGCGAAATACATCAGTCCACAAGCACATGATTCTAATGGAGCACATTCATCACGTAGAAGGTATTTATGGAATTCCATGAGGCTCTCCTTGATAGTTGCCTTGTATGTGTCACCACACTGCAAATGAGTCACTTGCAAGCCAGTTAGGTGGAAGCTGCTTGATTAGTCTGATATTACTTGGGAGTTCAAATCATCACTGTCATCAGTGACTTGGCTGAAATACAAGGTTTGCATAGAAGTGCTATTTTGTCCTGTAATTTCAGGTTGAATTAAACATTATCAAGTCTGCAGCAAAAACTAACTTTCAAAGAGATAATAGTGGTTAAGGGCAGTTCTCACTGGGAAAAAATTTCAATCTTGTTCCTGGGCTTAAAAAAAAGTTTTTTTGTTTTGTTTTGTTTTGTTTTTTCACAATAAAATTTATCACTGCTAAGCCCCAGAACTGCTGTGTGGTCCAGCAAGTCACACTGTTCAGTTCCTATTTCTGACAAAAATTCACAGAACTGATCATGGCAGAGTCCATGAGTGAATCAAGTTCACTGCTGATGCTGCTGGTTCAATAAAACGATACATGACAGATTCAAGTGTTTCCTGTAAAGTACCTGATGAATAATAAATAACCATTGGCTTAAGCTTACATTTGCATAAGCTTTGTAAATGTATCCCCGTAGCCTTCTTCATACATATCTTCACCACCATTCATTGTAACACATTTCACTTCAGGTTGTATCAATTTTTGTTTTCTCAACTTGTTGGAAAATATTCTTGCCTGTACCTGGTTTGATGCAGACTTTTCAGAGGCCAATGCTTCAGTCACTTCAACCTTGGCATTGACTCCAAATAACAACCAGGCAGTACCAGGAACCTCTATCAACTCATCAAGAGACGCGGAAATAATTTGCTTTGTTTTTTTTATGGAAATGACAGAATTGAGCCTATTTTTATTCCAGTGTTACCTTGGTGCAAGAAGATTTTTTAGGCTTTCTTTGTACTGCAGGCCTAGATCCAGTTTCCTACATATAATTGTATTTGTTATAATGACTTTGTGCACTGAGATATCTCCAGATATTCTGCACTAGCAGGATTTCTGACAGTGATCTTGCAAATATCCTCATCCAAAAAGGTTCAAAATGCATTAGTGTATCTAAACCCTCACACACACCAATGCACAAAGACCAGGAAAAAAACAAAAACAAACAAAACAAAAAAGGAGTGTCAAGCACTTGGGAATCAACAAAGAACATTTAGTGATAATCAGGATTAATTTTGAGGAAAATGACACTGTTGGGGTTTTAGAAAGAATAAACAACCGGCATAATGAAATATTTGCAATATTTTTTTCATCTTCTGTGAAGGGACTTGTTTTCCCACCAAGATGTGAGTATCTGTTACATAAATAAATGTAAGTCTTATAATTACAATAGGGAGGAAAACTTCACTCTATGGTTTAATTTTCTCTTTCCAACCCCCCCCTTTTTTTTTACATATCCATTTATTTATTTTTATATTATTATTGGTATTCTAGATATTATAATGTACTTCAAGTAATCAGTCTGACTTCAAAAAATTCTATTTTGCCAATTAATAATAGTCTTACAATGATATACATTTAGTTATCATCTTTCTGCCTTGTGTTCTCTTGTTTTCATGTAGTTTACCCTAAAATATGCTATAAATACCATATCGCATTATTAACACTTAGTCAATAGTCTTTGTTTTTTGACTGATATGGTTCCCAATGCCCTCAGTTCTTCAAGCTGTTGGTTGTTGCTGAAAGCCTGATGATCTTAAATAAGTTTATTTTATCTGCACATGTATCTTTGGCTGCTCCAATTAAATACGATTTAACTCACTATCGGTAATTGGTTTTATTTATTTGGCTAACACCGGAGTCACTCTGACACACTTTGGTTACAGCCTCACTTGAATTTTTTTATTTCTGTGAAGAAATTCTGCTGTAACAAAATACTCCATGTTAAATATTCTAATTTCCTGACCTCTGCTTTCCTGTGAGCTGGGAATACTGTGAGTGCTCAGGATGGTAATGCATTCACATTATGATGCACAGCTGTTGCATGGCGGCATCATAAACACGACGATCTGCCATCTGACTTTGCAAAATAGTCCACGTTTTCACAGTGTTAAAAAGCATTGGCATTCAAAGTCCACTTTTATAGGCACTGGTCATTTTTTTAAAAAATGTCACAGGACGGTGATGTGCGGGGATGTGTGGCACTTGAAACACGGTCAAATTATTAACGCGTCACTGCTATTTGTAGCCCACTGAGTGCCCACTCAAAGCAATCAGAGCACCACCTCAGTCTCTACTGCAACTCCGTGAACGTCTCTGCTCTTGTAGCATCAAAGTGCACAGACGGTACAGAAATAAGTGAGCATGGTTGTGTGCCAATAAAACTTTATTTACGGACACTGGAATTTAAATTTGTTATAATTTTTACATGTCACAATATATAGTTCTTTTTTTAAAACCATTTAAAAATAAATACGAAAAAAATTAAACATTCTAGGCAAAAACAGGAAGTAGGAGAAAAAAACCAACAGGAAGTGGGCCAGATCTGGACCATGGGCTATCGTGTGCAGATTATGCAGTCTATTCTACAGTTTTACAAAACAATGATTTGGCTTTTAGTAAGGTATGTTCAACTTGAAAATCATACCAGAGAAAACTTGTAATATTTTTTTTTAAAGATTTATTTATTTTAGAGAGAGAATGCACGCCTGCAAGCGGGGGCAGGGGCAGAGGAAGAAGGACAAGCAGACTCCACGCTGAGTGCGGAACCCCATGTCAGGCTCAATTCACAACCCTGAGATCATGACCTATCTTTGACTGAGCCACCCAGGTGCCCCAAGAAGACTTGTAGTATTAAACATATCAACTTCCAAAGTAATGTTTTTATTCAAAAGGTATTAATAATGTTATTTCATAAAAGTATGTCCATGTTGGGGCTAGACTGGGGTAGGAAGTATATGCTACAAAAAAGTATTACCGAATTATTGAGTTAGGCAGGGGATTTAGGGCTGAAAAATACCGTGAAACTTACAACACTTTAATGAGGTATCATACTATCATCTGATGAGCTCATTTAATTAGAAAGATAATTACCTAATGATATAACTGGCCTCTTTAAAACACTTTCACCCAGGGGGCACCTGGGTGGTGCAGTCAGTTAAGTGACCAACTCTTGGTTTTGGCTCAGGTTATGATGATCTCAGGGTTGTGAGATCAAGCCCTGTGTTGGGATCTGGGCTCTGTGGGTAATCTGCTAAGACTCTTTCTCTCCCCCTGCTCCTTCCCCCTGCGTTCACCCACACGCTCTCTAAAATAAATAAATCTTGAAACAAAACAAAACAAAACACTTTCACCCAGGATTTTATCCTACAGAAATACCCTCACGTGTCCAAAAAGAGTATATATTGCAGCAAAAACTGCCAACAACCATCCGTCATTAGGTGACTGGCTATATAAATTTTGATATGTTAATAATACATGGGAATACTAGGCAGCCAATTGAAAGAATGAAGAAAGAATACAAAGAATAAAGGCAAACAGAAGATAATGCAGCTAAAGACCTACTTGCATTCCCAATGCAGAGAAACTCTCATACATGTGCAGAATTATTCAAAGGAGCATTGTTTGCAACAGAAAAAATGGAAACAAACTTTATAACCAAACAGGAGAACAGACAGTGATATATTCACCCATGGAAATTTACACAGTAGTGAAAATGAATGAGCCATAGATACATGCATCCACATGGATGAAACCTCATGATGGGGAGGGAAAACAAATTGTAGACTATAGAAGGACGTCATTTCTCTCAAATTTAACAAGTGAAGAAACAGTGTGTATTCAGGAATACATCATACACGTGTAGTAGAAGTATACACACAAACGATAACCACAGACCTTAGGACAGAAGATATCAGGGAAGAACAACAGAATTGGCAAACCTTAAGCCAGACACACAGATACTCATTATATTATTATTTGTATTTTCTGTGCATCTGAAATGTTACAACCTTTTGGAATGTTCATCTTCCATGTGTAATACATACGTACTTTGGTCAGTGAAAAGATGCAGAGCAAAGGTTGTAGAACATGTTATCACTTGTGTGTGACTGTGTGTTTTTAAAGAATACACTCCTATCTTTTTGTTTCTGAACAGAATACGTCTGTCTGGACAGGACACAGATCCTTAAAGGAATTGCCACCGGGAAGCACTGGGTAGGGGGGAAAAGAAGAGCGAAGGAGACTTAAGTTTATGTTTTCAAATTTACGTCTGGTACCACGGGCCTGTACCCAGCTTTCCAAACAAGAAATTTAATTTTTGTCCTTGACCCAACAGCCTGGTAGGTCAGCATTGAAAGACAGGAAAGAAGGGGGAAAGGAAGGAAGAAATTACTGAAGAGTGACTAGAATTCCCAAATCCTGGCACAGGCCGAGACTTCCCAGGTCACACCCCACGCGGCCCCCCTCCTGCCACACCCTGACCGCGCACCATCCATCCCGTCCTTCCAGTGTTTCTGTGACCAGGCTCTTCACCTCACAATGGGAACTACTAAGTGCCAAGGATAGAGCTTCCTTCTCACTGAGCTCGGCAGTATGGGAAATGCAGTGGGTCAGGACTCAAAGGCCACAGACTCTTAATGTTCTTACTCAGATTCAGATGTTCATGAGTAATGTCTCTCCGTTTGCTCTATTTTTTTTTTAAATAATTTTCACCAGTTATGGCTGTTTCACTACGAGGAAGGTCTGCGAAGCTATTCCACTAACGCATACTTAAGGGAGCGGAATTTTTTATACTCAATTGAAAAAGATCATTTGCTCTTTGTTTCTGATGCACCTTTTCATTTTACAAGGTCCTAGGGTGGCTGATCCCCAAGTCCTCTTCCATTCTAAACATGTATGAGTTGATGTTTTAGATGGTCATTATCTTCAAATTATTGCAGATGGTCAATTTCCTATGCTTTCCTAATCTAGACACAACAGTCTCAGAAACTAAATAATGGACAAGTAAAAGGGTTAATAGATGTCTTGGATAGGCAGCCAATTTTTTGTACATTTCTAGAAGTGAGCTAAGTTATATATATAACCCAAATATGAAAATAATGAAACTCATCTATCCACCAAAACCACGCAAAAATTAGTCAGGGTTATCACACAAGCCTTGTCGCAGAAACAATGACACCAAATGTGAAAACCGCTCCAGAGACAGCTTTCAGATTGTATCCATCCTGTGTACCTACAGTGTAAACTTACCAATATTCTCTTCTGCCTACTACTATGAAGAGCATCAACTTGTTTTAAGAAAAAGAAAACAGATCATCATTCACTGAGTCCACACCTATCCAGCAACAGGCCGCACATCAACTGCAGGAGATGGCCGAGGGCCATCGCCCTCTGCCTTCCCCATCCCGCTCCCCAACGCGCAGGACCACGCCGCGACACAGCAAGGCTACGTAGTAAAGCACACGCAGTGTGGCAGGAAGAGCAGACAAGGGGGCCAGCTGCAGTGCTGAAGAGAAAATGAGAAAGCATTCATTAGGAGGAATATCAGGTGGAGAAAATGGCCAGAGACACGGCGGCACGTGAAAGCAAGGAGCATTAGAGGAACAGTCTCAGGACGAGGCAAACTGAGAATCAAAGGATACAAGATGTGAAAGTGGATGGAAGCTAGGGAATGTGATCATGGCAAGGTGTTAAGGTCTCTCCCCAGGCTAACATCATGGTAATGTGGACTTTGAGAAAGCTAACTGCAGGGGCTCTGGGCAAAGCCAACGAAAGGACGCAGGGAGAGGCAGACCTTCTCTGGCTCAGGCCCGGAGGCAGCGGCCTCCAGCAGCGTCCCAGGCCAGGTGACTACGTATCCCCAGACAGACGCAGTTTATGTTAATGGACGGTAAAAAGTGGGGTGGGTGTTCAGGGTGTCTCCCAAGGTTGGGCTTGGGCAACCAGGTGGACAAAACCACGGTGACCAGAAGATATGACCCTGGTACAGATGCTCAGAGCAGATGGCTGTGTGGCCACGTCAGAAAGCATCTCAAGGGGCTCCTGGGCGTTTGCCTTCAGCTCAGGCCATGATCTCAGGGTCCTGGGATGGAGCCCGCATTGGGCCCCCTGCTCAGCAGGGGGTCTGCTTCTCCCTCTTTCCCCTTCTCTTGCTTGTGCGCTCTCTCTTTTTCTCTCTCAAATAAATAAATAAAATCTTAAAAGAAAAAAAAAGAGAGAAAGCATCTCCATACAGACCTGAAGCTCAGTACGGAGGCAGGGGCTAAGAGCACAGAGATTCTAGCACACGGATGTTGCTGGGACCTTGCAAGTAGCTAAGGTCACCTGGTAAGAGTGCAGAAGGCAGCTGAAGGCGGATTATCTATCAGTGACTATCAACAATGAAACAGCAGGTGAGGAGAGAAAGAGGAATCAACAAATGAACCTTTGATCTGAAATCCTTGTTAGGTCAAGATAATAAAAGTATGTCCTGAAACACGAGAACACACACAACTTGGGAGGACAGTGGTAGTTGTAACCCTAAAGTGCTTAACATCCTACAAGATTTTAAAATTACTTTAGGAGTAAGTCCAGAAAAGTCAAGGACATTTTACTAGTTTAAAGTAGGAGGTATTACCTATTCTGAAATAACCATCTTCTAATCGTTTGTCTTTGGTTTCTTTGCTTATTTCCAAACCTTCACTCTAAAATAGAACAAAAACATTAACTTTATACAAATCATTACTTCTATTTAAAACAGATCTAATATATCTTAATAAACATAAAAGTGGTGTTTGTGGCACAACTATCTCTAAAAAAGAGAAAATGTCATCTGTCTTGAACCTTAAAGAGTTTATCAATACAAATATTCTTTTTTTAACTATCTGAAACCATCAATCTCTCTATATATATTTGTGGTTAGAAAATTTAAATTTTAATTAATTTTAATAGGGTACTATTTTTATTAAAAATAAAAAACTGTGTTAACTTAAATCTAAGCACTCCTTAAAGACCAGCAAATTAATTTTGTGTATTAAACAACAAGCATTAAAGCCACATGGGATTTCGGGACTCAAACTATACACAGCAGTTAAGCATTAAAGTAAAATGATGATTCACTTATCTTCCTAGTATGAACTTCCAAGATATTTTCCACCAGGAAACAAAATGGAGGCTCTTTCTATGAATAAGACAGATGGGACAATACACTAAGTGTTCCCCATTTAAAAAAAAAAATAAAAATTTAGCCTTGCTCCCACTAAGGTCCTGCGATCATGAGAATTCTCTTCCACCTCATAAACAAGAATAACCTCAAACCAAGTCCCCTGGTCTTTGTTCTTTAGAAAAATTAGGGGGAAAAATAGGCATACCTTAAAAGGCAAAACTTCCACAGTTGTGTTTAGCAGAATATCTCCTGGATGTTCTTGGTTGCCACTGTGGAACAAATAACTGAAAAGACGAACATAAAAATAAAAGTATGAGTCAGATTAGACTTCGCGGAGATTCAGGAAAACGGCTTTACCTCAGAGCGAGCGTTCTAAATGAGACTCTGACTGCAGGGCAGACAGCACGGGGGGCTCGTATCAAGGGCACATTATGTATTCTGAATAGTTGCAGGAAACTTGAAAACTTAAGGATGCAACCCTTAGGTGATGTGTTAATTCCTTCCATCAGAAGGGGCATGTTTGTTGCTTAATGTAATAATGTATTTAACAGATTTTTTAAAAAGGACAGTTTTAGGCTGTGGTTTACACTGTTTTAAATATAGACACCTCTCAAGAAGAATAATCAAAGCTGCAGCATCTATATAATATTACTACTGTATCTTGTATCAGAGAAAATTTTCGCCAGCACAGCCATGAGCCATGGCAAGCTCAAAGACTAGTTTTATCCGATACAAATAGTTTTCGCATTCGTAGCCTGAGAATAAATTAACCAATTCCAAATATCTGAATCATTCCACTTATCACTATGAACAAACATTTGAAAAACAACTATCATCAATCTAAAATACTCTCTGGGCATGAGGATAATGTCCTCAGGTTCTGATACCCTGAAAACTAGTGTGGGTGTGTAAGGGTGTGGCGGGGGGGGCACGTGAGGGGAGGGGAGGTGTAAAAACCAGACAGCGCATGCAAAGCATATCTAAATCTAAACTGAAAACTTGAGTTCAGCTAAGTTAAATGGTTAAAAGTTTCGACTTAGAAAGACCTGGATCCAAATCCTGGGTCTCCCATTTAATAGAATTCTCACCTTTAGCAAGTTACATTAGCTTCCTGAGCCTGAATTTCCTCTCGACAGTACAGAGATTCCCACCTACCTCACATGACCGTAGCAAGGGGTTTATGAGAACTGACAGTAGCTTGTGTATTGAAAGTACTCAGCAAGGAGCAGTTAGAGTGTGCTTATGATACAGTATGGTATTAGTGGGCAAAAATCACCTGTGATGAAGACCTGATTTTCAAATCTTGCACAGGGAAGGGCACCCTCTAAGATTAGCTCCCTCTAAGCTACACCCAAAATTAATTCCAACATTTTCAGATGAGAGACACCTTTTTTCAAAAGACCTCTTTGACTTGGAATGCTGCTTCCTGTAACTCTGGGCCCCTCATGACCTCAGCTAAAGATGCGACAATACAAGCCAGGGGAAGCCCCTGTTCAGAAAAGAACGATGGACAGAATTTGGCGTTTAGACAGACTGATTCAGGTGTTTACTATGTGATTATAGTGGAAAACAACACGATCTACAAAGTTTAATATCAGAAGAAGTAAATGATGGTACAGCCAGGCAATGGGGATAGTGTGCAACTATTAAAATGTTTATGAATCACTTATGACAAATTATGATGGAAAATAGGACCTAAAATTACATACAGACCATAATGGCTTTCAAAGTAGAAAGTGCACAGAATTACAAAAAAAAAAAAAAAAAAAAAAAGTGCCAATATGGTCACAGTGGTGTCGCTGGGGTTGTGATTTTTTCCTCATTTTTCATATTTTAAAATTGTGTAATCAAATCATATCGTTATATAGTCAGAAAATATTTTCCCTAACACTCAATTTCTGTATTGATAAATACAACTTCTGCTTTTTCCCGCTCTCAGCAAGTAAGTTATTGTGCAAGTCAAAAGTGATCCCTTTTCTGTATTCTAGGCAGGGTGGGTCTCTCCGTGAACTCTTATTAAACTCAGAGGTCCTATGTTTTTAAAAGAATTGTGTTTTACTAGAAATGGGTCCTCAGTAGGGTCATGTAAATATTACTTTACAGAAGTTTATTGCAAATATATTGGTTAAGAAATCTGATCTCCAAGGGCGCCTGGGTGGCTCGGTCATTAAGCGTCCGCCTTCGGCTCAGGTCATGATCCCAGGGTCCTGGGATCAAGTCCCACATCGGGCTCCTTGCTCGGCGGGAAGCCTACTTCTCCCTCTCCCACTCTGCCTGCTTGTGTTCCTGCTCTCGCTATCTCTCTGTCAAATAAATAAATAAATAATTAAAAAAAAAAAAAAAGAAATCTGATCTCCAATATAAGAGTTCTTTAGCAGATCCTTTGCTGGCACAATTTTAACTTGCAAAAAATAAACCAACAGACGTGGCCTGAGACTATTCTGATTTATGGACGTGAAAAACGGTTTCTAATTGTATGATGACTCTTTGTTTAAAATTCTTTGAGTGCAGCTGCCAAACAAGGTTACGCTGGTTTCAGGCATACAACAGAGTGACCCGCCATCTATGTTGGTCTGTGCTCACAGGCGCAGCTCCCATCTGTCCCCGTACGGTACCATTACGCTATCACGGACTACATTCCCCGTGCTGGGCCTGTTACTCCAGCAACTCACTCATTCCCTAACTGGAAGCCTGTGCCCCACCCCCCCGTTCCCCTCCCCTCTGGCCACCAGTTTCTGTATTCACAGGTCTGATTCTGCTTTTTGTTTACTTGTGGGGGGTTTTTTATTGTTATGTTAATCCCCATACATTACATCATTAGTTTTAGATGAAGTGTTCCATGATTCATTGTTTGTGCACAACACCCAGTGCTCCATGCAGAATGTGCCCTCCTCAATACCCACCACCAGGCTAACCCATCCTCCCACCCCCCTCCCCTCTAGAACCCTCAGTTTGTTTTTCAGAGTCCATCGTCTCTCATGTTTCATCTACCCTTCCGACTTCCCCCCTTCATTCTTCCCCTCCTGCTATCTTATTTTTTTTTTCTTAACATATATTGCATTATTTGTTTCAGAGGTACAGATCTGAGATTCAAGTCTTGCACAATTCACAGCGCTTACCAGAGCACATACCCTCCCCAGTGTCTATCACCCAGTCACCGCATCCCTCCCACCCCACCCCCCACTCCAGCAACCCTCAGTTTGTTTCCTGCGATTAAGAATTCCTCATATCAGTGAGATCATGTGATACATGTCTTTCTCTGATTGACTTATTTCGCTCAGCATAATACCCTCCAGTTCCATCCACGTCATTGCAAATGAAGATCTCATTCCTTTTGATGGCTGCAGAATATTCCATAGTAAATATATACCACATCTTCTTTATCCATTCATCTGTCGGTGGACATCTTGGCTCTTTTACTTGTGGGTTGTTTTAAGATTCCTGAGTGGAATTATATGGTATCTGTCTTTCTCAGGCTGACTTAGTTCACTTAGCTTAATACCCTCTTGGTCCATCCATGTTGTCACAAACGGCAGGATCTCATCCTTTATCTGGCTGTGTAATAGTCCCTTGTGGGTACATATACCACATTTTCCTTATCCATTTGTCTACTGATGGACACTTGGGTTGCCCCCCTATCTTGGCTACTGTAAATAATGCTGCAGTAAACATAGAGCTGCAAGTATCTTTTTGAACGAGTGTCTTCCTTTGCTTTGGATAAATACCCAGCAATGCAATAATTGGATCATATTGTAGTTCCATTTTTAATTTTTTGAGGAACCTCCATACTGTTTTGCACAGTGGCTGCACCAATTTACATTCCCATCAACAGTGCACGAGGGGTGCCCTTTCTCCACATCCTCACCAACACTTGTTATTTCTTGTCCTTCTGATTTTAGCCATTCTAACTGGTATAAGGTGATATCTCATTGCTTTGACTTGCATCTCCCTGATGCTTACTGATGCTGAGCCATCTTTTCATTCATCTGTTGGGCCTCTGTAGGTCATCTTTGGAAAAATGTCCATTTAGGTCCTCTGCCCCATTTTTTTAATCAAATCATTTGCTTTTTTGGTGCTGAGTTGTGTAAATTCTTTATATATTTTGGATATTAACCCCATTTCAGATATTTATGATGAGTCTTTTTTTTTCATGTAGGCTCCACACCCAGCATGGAGCCCAACACGGGGCCCGAACCCATGACCCTGAGATCAATACCTGAGCTGAGATCAGGAGTCAGACACTCAACCGACTGAGCCACCTAGGCACCCCTATGATGACTCTTTTAAGTGTGGTAAATACTACCTCAAAGTGCTGAATATCACACTATCTGGTATAAAAGTGAACATTAAATAACAAAATATTATATACTCATAAATGCAAAATATTATGCAAAAGTATTTTTAGGTTTTTCCAGTCATATTCCCATTGCCCAAAACATTTTTACACACTTAAATTCCTCTTTAGAATCAGTTTAGAGAATAAAATTAATAACATGTTAACCATGCATTGTTGCTGAAAACCTTAAGTAGAATTATTCCAAATGATTTTTGGTGGGTTCTAAAAACTGGATGGCCCTCACACGGGAACACATAACACAATGTGCCACAGGCTACAGAGTAGCCCGTTTGGGGATTACATTTAAGTGTACCCCAGACGGTGTAGTCTGGGGAAGACACCCCAAACTGAGGAAAGGTTGGAGGAATCATGACTGTTAAAAAAAAAAGGGAGAAATGGGACACCTGGGTGGCTCAGTTGGTTAAGCTCAGGTCATGATCTCGGGGTCCTGGGATCGAGTCCTGCATTGGGCTCCTTGCTCAGCGGGGAGCCTGCTTCTCCCTCTGCCTGCCTCTCTCCCTGCTTGTGCTCTGTCTCTCTCTGATAAATAAATAAATAAAATCTTAAAAAAAAAAAAAAAAACAGGGAGAAAAGAGTCCTAAATTCTGTACAATGAACATCAATTCTAAAAAACACAAAAGGGTTATAAATTCTTCCACAGCGGCCTAAAAGCAAGCCAGCATTTGTGAAATCACTGACTAGGGATGGTCACAGTCTGTCAAATTTATCATTTCAGCCAATTTTCTAGGTAACTGACTAGCTCTCAGTCAAATCCCAAGGGATATTCTAGAATAAGGACATGAAAACTAATTTTATATTTTGAGGGAGAGTTCTACCTAAAAGTACTAAAAAAACTATACTAAATATATGTTCAACAATACCAACAGAATTTATCAAACATGCTAAGGGCTGATATCATATCTGAAAACAACATACCCATTTTACTACCGAGTTGTAGGAAATGTATTTTATAACCTAACATTTGGGACCCACTGTCTCCTCACATCTGTTATATACACAAAAAAAATCCATCATAAATCACACTACGAATAAGAGGTGTAAAATTGCAAGACCAAATAGATTTCAACAGTCACCAACCTTTCTACATTGACTGGCTTATCAAATTTGAACAAGATATAGTCTCCGGCTACTGGGGTGATAGCCCAGAAGAAATCCTCCCCCATGTAAGTTTTCTCCAGTGTATGTCCTTGGTAGACCTTCAAAGAAGTAGATATCTCTGCAGGCGGGTTTACATGGATTTTAAGAAGTAATGGTTTCATGTAATCTTTATCCTAGGAGGAGAGACAAGTATGCTGTTAAACACCAGAGTTTATTTATACTGAAGAAGAAGAGCAATGACTATACAGTAAATAACAAACTGTATGTGCATGAGAAAAATAAAATTAAGTCACCAACCGTGAGTTTCTGAATTTTTCCTGATAGAGAAGAATGCAGACCAACATGTTGGAAAAGGGAAGGTCTGAAGCGAATTCGTAGATTTGCTTTCTGTCTATCACAATGTTTCTAAATATTGAAAAAAAAAATCACATTAGTGTCAAAGTGAAATCTTGTCCTCAACAGAAAAACCAGAAGTCTTTTATTAATTTCTTTCTTTTTAAAGACAGAGTGGTGGTGGGCAGAGGGAGAGAATCTTAAGCAGGCTCCACGCCCAGCACCAAGATGATGTGAGGTTCCATCCCACAACCCTGAGATCATGACCTGAGCTGAAACCAAGAGTCGGACGCTTGACCGACTGGGCCACCCAGGTGCCCCTTCCAGAAGTCCTTTTAAAGAATATTGGAAAGAAAATCCAACTTCATCTCCTAATTCCAAGTCATAATTTTTAGGGTCTTCTTTAAGACATTAAGAGATTTGCTATCTACTAGATAAACAGATATGGAAATTTACAATAAGCACAACTAAGAGAAGATTTAATTTCAACCATCTTCAGGATATGTCAAAATGTACACTCGACTTTTAAAATGCACACACTACAGACTAGAGGTTTGGTTCAAATATACAGAATATCTTTAATCGGATAATATAATGAAGAATTTGCAAATAATAAAAGGCACATTTTGTTGCATTAAAGTAATCTGAAAATGCAAGGCAACAGGTTGACCATAAGCAAGTACATGGTATCTCAAGTTCCACAATTCAACTCCAGTTGAATACAGGAGACTCGTACTTCCACATGAAGTGCCTCCTGGCCTAGACTTCAGATTACAACCTGTCCTCACGCTTGGTCCTGGTGTAGGGAACCCATAATGCCAGCAGGGCCCTCCCTGTGTGTGAACTTGGTACTTCAAGACAGCCCCAGCTATCCTGTCAGGCTTTTACCAACTCTTCTCATTTTCAGTGACTTTTACAAGTAGTAGGCCAAGAACGTACTGAAAAGACATACTCGTGTATCTTTATTTGTAAGACATTTCCACTTGGAAAGGCCTCCAATAATTTTCTGGGTACTAAAATGCTTAATTTTTCTCAAGAGGTTTTACTTCATTACTGTTATTACTAACACTAGAGTAGAGGTAATAGAACATATTCTATTTACACAAATCGAACTCCTCAAGTGGAAGGCGAGGGAAAGGAAGGAAGGGAGAGTAAAGGAGCAGAGAAAGGGATGGGGGGGAAGGGAAGGTGGGGGACGGAGAGGAAGAAGAGAATGAACAGTGCCTGAGACTGAGCCCTCTCAATAAGCCATGGACACACGGGTGTCTGAGGAGTCAAAGTGGGTTGAGAAACCTGTGGAAGAATGTGTGATGCTCAGAGGGGTTTTCCAGACCACTGTCAAAGAGATATTGTTCTGGGGGCCAGCAAGTATGTGGTGACAGCTTCCCTGACATCCTAGGGGAAGCAACTGAAGAATTATGGGCCACAGAAAAACATGGCCTAAGGAGCAGTGACAGAATAGATAGGTCAAACTGGCCAAAGGGCTCTGTGCTAAAATTTATAGATGCTTTAAATGGTTTTATTTTTTACTATCAGAAATTCTCACCTCCCAGACTCAATTTAGAACCTAACCCTATAGGAGATAAAATACTGCACAGGACCAACTGAATGCAAATATACGGTAGGAGTGTAAAGATCACATGAATTTTCCCATGTCCTACAATAAAAATTCCCATAAATCACAAAGAAAATACAGGCCAGGACTTACATCATAAAAATGAATTGTTCAAATCAATTTATATGTTCAGTTATTGTTGGAAAGTGGCTACTTTGCTATTTGGCTATATTCCATTATTTGCTCTAAGAAAGTGTTTTAAAAACAAAAAAACAAACAAAAAAGAATGTAACAATAGCTTCCAAACATCAGAAGGCAGTATCCTAAAAACTAATTGGCAGGTAGGATGATCAAACTATTCTAGATAATACAATAAGTCATGAAGTCAAATTATTTGTTTGTTAGAGTTAAGTCATCCCTATAAAGACACATTCCCATAATAAAGAGTTCCTGTTACATGTCGAAAGTAACTTATTTTTAAGAATGTGTATTCACATTTATGCTTACACAAAATAAATACTTTTTTCCAGAGGCACAATTCAAATTGGACAAGAAAAACATATCTAATTACTTTTTACAACAAGATTTCTATGGAAATAACATAAGAAAAAAAATCATCATTTGCTTACTTACCTGCTACCATCACCCCAAAGGTCAGCATATTAGTATGAACACTGGTTTCTTACAAGTAATATACTAAAAAGTACTTTTTGACTTGCCATTGTTTTGGTATAAAATATTACTTCTATTTTAGTCCTTATTTCCAGATATGTTGGGGCCTGATAGTGTCCCCAAAGGATTTGAAAAAAGAAAGACGACAGAGAGTATGAAGAAAGCTGAAATAACCCCCAACCCCAGGACAGATAGAACATCGATAGCCCACAGTAACAAAATACCAGAGCCTGAAGACACCGCTAACATTTATCAGCAATTTAAAGAAAGGTGGACTTCACTGATTTACAGGATTTTCCACTATTTTTTTTTTTTAAAGATTTTATTTATTTGACAGAGAGAGACACAGCGAGAGAGGGAACACAAGCGGGGGGAGCGGGAGAGGGAGAAGCGGGCTTCCCGCTGAGCAGGGAGCCCGACGCGGGGCTGGATCCCAGGACCCTGGGACCGTGACCTGAGCCGAAGGCAGACGCTTAACGACTGGACCACCTAGGTGCCCCTCCACTGTTATTTAAAAATCCCTCTAATTTAGGAACTTTGTCAGTTCAAGAAAGCAAGCACTTCAAATGTTAAGTGAAAACACTGTTTTCATTCAGCTATTTAACTGTTCATTTACAAAATCTGGCTCCCTGAAAGTCACTTTCACAAGATACAGAAAAGAAGCCTCTTCCCTTTAGAAGGTAGGGGAGGGACAGTAAAGTATCCCTCAAACTGAGAAAGCACAGAGTTTTATTCAAGGTAACTGATGGTGTGTGTGTGTGTGTGTGTGTGTGTTGGGGGGAGGGGTGGAATTGGGTGGGATGATGATCCAACCATGCAGTTATTCTCAGCAAGGTCTGGTCCTTAGTCCACAGATTTTATAGAGCAAAAGGACACACTGTAGTGAGCAAGGGCCCTGTAGTGAGATCAAAGGGTTTGCATGCACCTGACAGCTAACCTTTAATTAGATCTCTTTGTACCACCTGTGTGTCAGGAAGGGGAAAGACTCTATCATCTCTAACAGATACAGGGCAGACCAAAACAAGCCCTCTCCATCCCAGCCTAAGGTGGCATTTCTAACGTATATATATGAATCATCATGAGCCCTGAGCACGTAGCCCCAAGAGAGGTCATGGAGTGAACATGAATAAAATGACGGGCCGGAGGAGTGTCAGCACTCCTACATCCACCCTCACAAGAAATCAACTTACTGCATCTTTTTCAGGGTTGCAGACTTTTACCCAGAGTATATGGTCCAAGAGCCAATCAATGGGTTTCTCCTTATAGAACATAAATATGAATTCCACAATCAGAGTGAGGTCTGGTGCTTGAAACATTTTACCTGAAAAAAACATTCTCAGTCAATAGCTGTAATAAAGAAACCAAGCAACAAAATGCCTTAAATAAATGAGATCTATACAACAAAAACATAAGAGCTTGTGCTTTCAAATAAAAGTCATTAGGAATAACTTCCCCACTTGTCTTATCAAAAGCAAACAAACTTGCTTCAGCTAAACATTCTGAGTTGTCACCTGGGTATACACAGAACTACTTAACTCCTGACTTTCTCCATTATAAGATCTCTCACACAGCTACTGGCTCAAAGGATTCAAGAACCAAGTCAGAGATTTGTTTCCTTCATGTCTTATTAAAATTCCTCCCATTTAAAAAAAAAAAAAAAAAAAAAGAACTTTAGGTTCCTTTAGGTTTAGGTAAAAAAAGAAAAAAAATTAACCAAATCAATACATGCAAAAAACAAGGTCTAATGCTGTTGTCAACGAAACCTTCACAAGTAAAGATGGTTTTTGACTCTTAAATTAAGTTTTGAGATCCCCAACAAGGTCAAAGGCCCAGCCTCTAATACTTAAGGTTTTAAAGTACTACAGGAAGTTAAATGTGATCCTCTGGGTGTTTTTTAAAACCTGTAAACTTCCTGCAATTCTTCAACTTTCAACATGTTCTCCTTAATTGCAGAATTTAGGGATTTTAGTGGAAAAAAATTTTTAAACGAGCACCTTGCCTAGTCTGTGAAAGCAACAAATGAATAGGAATTAATCACTGAACAGGAACTTCAAGGACTACACCAAACACCAGGAACTCATACTAGAAAACATTTATTGTGGCACTCTTTTTAAAAGAACCCTGATCCTGCAAAAGCACTGGGCCATAAAAGAGCAACTGGAGGGGTCAGTAAAGAAATCAGATATGCTCAGGACCATAGCTGGCTATGTGCGCGTACTCCACGGTAAGTACTGCAATCCTAGAAGTATCCAAATATTATTCTGGGGTGACTCATCATTTCATATGTAGAAGTTATAAATTTCCTCAAAAGCAATCCATTTCCAGAGGGGAAAAAGGCAATTTTAAGGTAAAAGAAATTAATTTAAGATTCCAAGAGTCACAGTTATTTCTGAAAAGTAGGTAAATCTGACTGACACTTTTCTTACCAATGAAGCCCAGCTGGGAGAACTCTAGTATCATCCATTCCTCAGAAGAAAGTTGAAGTGCAAAATTTTTTATAGTGTTAAAGTAATTCTGTTTGACAATAATATCATCTTCAAGCTAAAGAAAGTTGAACAATCAGATTAATAAATCAGAAAGAGATGGAAAGATTCAGATAAAAGGACATTCTTTATTATAAGAAAACTCAAGCACACTTTTATAATGCAAATCAAGAAAAAAATGGTCAAAAAAGGTGAAAATACCAAAATAAATTTTATTAAAAGAAAATGAGGAAAATAAAATGGGAGAGTCACATAGCAGGTCACCTGAACCACTCCCTTACTGTGGGAAATCACAGTCCCACTCCATGAATACTCTTTCGGCCCTTTCATAGTGCCCAGCATGATTTCACACTCTCCTTTTTACTTTTCAAAGGAAAAGAATTTTTGTAAGCCTTTAATATTTTTTTTTTTATTTTTACATAATACATGTACTAAGTCAAAAAGCCAACAGCTTTCTTTCTCTGCCCTCCAGGCTGCCAGTTGAGGTAACCAATGTTAAAAGTTGGGTGCGCATCCATTTGACACTTTCTATATGACCATCAGCACAAAAAGACCCATATGTACTTAAGGTTCCCATCCACATTTACATTTTTATAAATAAAGGAGCTTCTTATCACAGTCTTTTTTTTCTCTTAATACATCATGAATATCTTTCCAGGTTAATAAATATTTAGCAGGTGTATAATATTCCATGATATCAATGTAAAACAATTCATTCAACTCTTCCCTGATTGTAGGCATACATCCAGCTTGTTTCTCATTTTTGTCAATACAAACAATGATGTAATAAATATGCTTATATTTACATATTAGTGCTTTTCATTTCTGTAGGACAGATTCCTGAAAGCTCACTTTTGAAATTTTAAAAGATATCTTCAGGGGCACCTAGGTGGCTGAGCTGATTAAGTGTCTGACTCTTAATTTCGGCTCAGGTCACGATCTCAGGATTATGAGATCGAGCCCCACATCAGGCTCTGCGCTTAGCTGGGAGTCTGCTTGGGAGTCTCCGTCCCTCTTCCTCTGCCCATCCCCCTGCTCTCTCTCCCTCTCTCTAAAATAAACAAATCTTTTAAAAAATATAAATAAACAAACAAATGATATCTTCAAACTACTTAAGAAACTGGCGATTCAGAGTGCCAGTTAATCCCATATGCTCAGTCAACATCATGTGTTATTTATGCTTGGAATTTTTACCAATTCAATTGGGAGCTGACAAAGATCAGGGATCATAAGTGTATGCAAAGACTTCCTCCCTAGAATCTCCTCTTATAAAATTTTCAAGTCACAAGGTGATTTTAATATCCTAAAAATTTTTTTCCTTTTCTTAATTTCATGTTATCGCTTCTGGTTACCTGCTAAGTAATTTTCACTTATTTTGATATTTAGATTTTTCATGTATTTAAATCCCACAAGCTTTCTTCTTCCTACCCATGAAGAAACAGCAGGAGTATCTGAAAAGACAGGATACTGACTCACCAAATATTTATTGAGCTGCTATTGTGTTCCAGACACTATACTAACCCTAGAGAATATATCGGTGAACAGAAAAGACATGTTATATGCCTTCAGAGCTTTAGGGAAGCTAGAAGGGAAACTAGACAAAGCTCAGAACTACACTGACATCTAGCTTTCCTTTATGAAAGAAGAGGGGCCCACACTCAAACCTAAACACTGTCTATGCCCAAAGGAAAGATGATCCCTAATATCAGGCAGTTCCAATTTTTCCAATAAGTAACTGCAAAAACAAGTTTGGACTATTTAAATGTATAGAGATGTAGTTGAAATATTCAAATGCCTGTTTAAAACTTAGTACACTGATTTTGGTTACCAATTCACATTTTTACATTCAATTAGGAAAACTGCTTTGTTCCAGTCTCACATCTCATCAAACAACTTCACTTTTATTTCTGGGCTCTCTAGTCTGTTCCACTGATCTGTGTGTCTAGTTTTGTGCTTGTACCGTACTGTTTTTATTCTTTCAGCTCTGTGGTCTAGTGTATCTTGAAATCTAGGATTGTGTTACCTCCAGCTTTGTTGTTCTTTCTCAAGACTGCTTCGGCTACTCAGGGTCTTTTGTGGTTCCATACAAATTTTAGTATTATTTGTTCGAGTTCCAGGAAAAACGTTGTTGGTATTTGATTGGGATTGCACTGAATCTGTAGGTTGCTTTGGCTTGTATGGACATTTTAACAATATTAATTCTTCCACTTTATGAGCATGGAATATCTTTCCATTTGTTTGTGTCTTTAGGTTCTTTCATCACTGTCTTACAGTTTTCAGAGTACAGGTTTGTACTTGGTTGTAACTCTCCTTGGTTAGAGTTTATTCCTAGGTATTTTATTCTTTTTTGGTGCAACTGTAAACCGACTGTTTTCTTAATTCCTTTTCCCGCTACTTTGTTATAAGTGTATAGAAATGCAACAGATTTCTGTATAGAAGCAACTTCACTTTTAAAAAAACTTAAGGTAACTGTAGATTCCTCTGTGGCTCTAGGAAAGAAGACAGAGATCCCGAGTACCTTTCACCCAGTTTCCCCCAATCTAACATCCTCCAGTATAACGGCACCACAATTGACTGACCATTTAATTCACTGACCTTATTAAATTTCACTAGTCTTACAGCATTCAGGTGTGTGTAGGGGTGAGTGTGTGTGTGTGTGTGGTTCCATGTAATTTTGGGGAGAGAGAACAATTCCACCATGAGGATTCTTGTGCTACTGCTACCCCTTAGATCAATAGCCATGTCCTCCCTTTCCCTCTTCCAGCATCTGGTAACCAACAGTCTGTTCTCATTTCTACAATTTTGTCATTTCAAAAATGCCATATAAATGGAATCAAACAGTACATAACCTTTCAAGATTGGATTTTAAAGTCCCCATAGTCCCTAAGATCCAAGATGTGGTGTGCATCAGTAGTTTGTTTCTTTTCATTATTCCATATTCCATGGTAGAGTGTGTCACCTGCTGAAGAACATCTGGCTTGTTTCCAGATTTTGGCTAGCACGAATAAAGATAGGAACCCTCATGTACAGGGTTTTTTTAGGGAGCATATGTGTTTCTCTGACATAGGTATTTTGTCATGGCAAGAGCCGGTCTTTAACAACTCTTACCTCTCACTAGTGATCACTAGTTTACGGAGGGAAGCTAAAAAACAAGATGCAAAATACTGTTTTTACAGTATGTAAATGTGCTATCAGAAAATGAATATTATATCTTGGAATATTATACATGAAATACTTTATATATTTTTTTGCTTAAATTTTTTTGAAGTACAAAAAGAAATAAAAAACTAGGGGTGCCTGGGTGGCTCAGTCAGTTAAGCATCTGCCTTCAGCTCAGGTCATGCATTGGGCTCCCTGCTCAACGGGGAGTCTGCTTCTCCTTATCCTCCTGCTGCACACCCCCCACCCCAGGCTCACGCTCTCACTCTCTCAAATAAATAAAATCTTAAAAAAAGAAAGAAAAAACCAATGGTGGTTACCCATGGGGAAGGGAGAAAACAGGATGGGAATGTGAATAAAAGTGAGATTTCTGTCTATCTTATTTTATGTAAGGTTTTGATTTTGAAATTTTTTTAATAACTAAAAAGGATAAAAAGTCCTAAAAACTGGATATGAAATGAAACAATTAAACCAAGTTTCATATCAATTTGGCGGCATGGTCGCTTAATCAACTGAGCCACCTAGGCGCCCCCTCCATCCTCTTTCATTCATTCATCCATTCATTCTTCCAGTGGCTTTCAAACACAGAATTTTGACTATATATCCATAGTAGGATATATTCTAAGGGGGGGAAAAAAGGACAAAGAAAATTTAAATAGCATTCAGCAGTTTAACAGTTAGTAGTGATAACGGTATTATTATTCTGAAACTATTTCAGACATACTGTAGAATAAAAGAATTATGTTAAAAGGATAATGTTTTTAAGAACCAAGCCCTAAAATCTTCATTTGATTTGGGAATATCAATATGAGCTTGTAGTTTTCCTCCCTGAGAAATAAGCCCAAGAAGCAAAGACACCATAAGAGCAATGAGCATCTCACGCACCCAGATTGTGATCTTAAATACTATTTGCCTCCAAACACAACAGGACTCCTTACAGAAATGACTGATTCTAGATCTGGAACAGGAAATGTGCAAATCTTGTGCCAGTCAGCAAAGTAGTGATCAAAGATTACTGGACTGTCATGGAAGGAATACAAGAACCAGTTTTTTTTTTTTAAAGATGTTATTTATTTGAGAGAGAGAGAGAGTGAGAGAGACAAAGCACTAGCAGGGGGAGTGGCAGGCAGAGGGAGTGGGAGAAGCAGGCTCCCCACTGAGTTAGGAACCCAATGCAGGGCTCAATCCCAGGACCCTGGGATCATGACCTGAGCTGAAGGCAGATGCTTAACCGACTGAGCCACCCAGGCACCCCACAAGAGCCAATTTGAAGAGATTCCCACTGGTTTATGATGTACCAATGTGAGCATCAATCTGAATAATGATTGCAAGGACTAAGGCAAATCGAATATATTTTTAAAGTCCTTGAGTTCATAACAATGTTTTTTAAATGGCCACCACTGGAGACTTCTAGGGTACCAACTTTAAAAATTAATGAAGAGAAAGAATAGGCATTTATTCTGCCTTTCCTTGGTGAACTGTTTTTTAAGGTAACCAAATAGAGAGGAGCGAAAGTTCTTTACACAAGAACTCAGCTTATAAGAACGTTACAAATTACAGAATTAGAAAATGATCACTTGGCCACCTCTAAGGAAATAACTTATCTGGGGAACAATAATCGATGATTTCGGAAATCACAGGGGGAGTGGCTGCTGGGGAGCTTTATAAAGGACAGATGGGGCTGACACCACCAAGCCCACTGATTAATGTTGGCATCACTGTAAGTGGGGCAACCAGATATAATAGGCCTTGTGATGCGATTTGGTAGGAATTACACAGTGCCACCCAGGAAGTGCCTGAATCACCCAACAGCATTCCAGAAGACACTTCAGTTCCAAGTCAGCAGTGATATAGCACTTTATGGAAGTGTGAGATTCTGTCACAGGAAACTTCATTCCAAGCCATAAATGTAACACTAGGACAGGTGGCTTTTTTTTTTTTTTCCCCCTCCTTTAGGGCTATGCCTGTGCTGACCAGAGAGTAACCTCTGACTCAGCTGCCTTTTTAAAAGCACTCTCCCAAAGTCCTGGGTAGGATACCCCCAGCATGTGCAACCACGAAGTCACACGCCTCGCATAATTATCAAGTCTGTATTAAATCCCTTTGCTTCTTCACACGAATTCTCCCCTCATTTTGCTGGGTGATCTCTATCCTTCACAAACATTCAAAATTGATATTAAGCTGAGGACTTTTCAGGCTAATGCATTCTTCCCACTTTGTAGATCATAATGAACTCAATGAGAGAATTCTATATAATATGAAATTATGTGAAGACTTCAATATGCAGCAACTCCCTCTTTTCAGAGGCATAATTTTTGAGAAAATTGGGTAATTTTAGGGATGTTCATTGGATTCATCTGTGACACAAGTGAAAAGTTGGGAACAATCTCAATGACCAACAATAAGGTCATTATGATATCTGAATAATGATAGTTCAATAAGTGATTAAAAAGTATTCCTACCTGTAATTACTGGCTTGTAAAGGTGTCTACCATATGTGAAATGACAGTAAAACAGGCTATGAGACAGTACGGACAGTATGATCTTGTTCTTGCAAAAAGCTGTATTAAATGAGTAAGTATGTGTAAAGCCTAAGTTGGAAAGAACAATGTACAACATATGTTAAGTGTGTGGTAAGTGTCAGTTCATAGCTACTGTGGTTATAACACCACATACACAAACCCTGCTTAACTGAAGTTATATTCATCCTTTTTTTTTTTTTTTTTTTAAGATTTTAAGAGAGAGTGGGAGAGCAAGCACAAGCAGGGGGAGTGGCAGGCAGGGGAGAAGCAGACTCCCTGCTGAGCAAGGACTCAATCCCAGGACCCTGGGATCACGACCTGCACCAATGGAAGGCAGACGCTTAATCAACTGAGCCACCCAGGCGCCCCCTCCATCCTCTTTCTTAAACCCATCCTTTCCTTAATTTCCTAAACGCTTACATTTCCTATAATCCACACACACAAAAAGTGCTTTAAGATTCTATTAATTCTATGCTTAGAGAGAAATTTAAAACAAATTTTAAAAGCAATGTGACTACACTTTTAAATTCTCTCTATAAAGTTCTTGACCATCATGTAAATATATAGAGGCCCTAGAACAAACAGCAAAGGTTCAGCTACGATAATATGGGACACATGAGATAAAATGTTTTGAAGCTATTATCTTGAAGAAATCTAAGTAAGACTTCTCTAAGACATTTAAAGGAAATGTACTAATTAAAGGATACCATGTTTTTATGCTCCCAACGCTTGTACACTGTTATATGCAATGTTATATTCTGACCCTATCATCATTAACATTTCTCAACCTGAGAACCACAAAAGGGTGCCTGCACCTTTGAATGCAGGTGGCCCAAGATAAAATGTCAAAGGAGACAAAGTCTGTGCTCAGTGAGACTGCCCTCCCAGGGGATAGCAAGCTTCTCCTTCTTTCCTTCCCTCTCAAACCCCTCCTAGCAGCTGTAAAACCATTTATTTCCTTTCTGATTCAGGGACCCAGAGCCTCTTCTTGCCACTCTCATCAAAACCCCTTCCAGGGAAAGATCTAATAAACTTTTTATACTAATAAATAAATAAACAACTGACAGGCTTAGTGCTACATCACTCAGTGGTATGTGCATTTTGAACAAGGAATAAAGACCTTTGGTTAAAGAAATGAAATTCCAATTGTAAAATTTAAGCTTAAGTCACTAAGGAGAATGAGATTTGGAAGAAATAAGAGCCTCCTACAATTATTTAAGTTGTTGCCTACCTGGCTAACTTAAAAGCCACATCATTACAGACTTATTCTTTGAGCCATGCTGCTAAAAGCTGGGCCATTAGAGCTAAACGTCAGTTTTATTATCTTCAGTATAAATGTACATGTACTATAGCATTAAAAAAAAAACAACAACTATCTTACTGTAAGACCACCCAAAAAACTATCAGAAAATCCTTCTTTAAAATTTGCCAAGTAATTAAGCCTTAGTTCTTTTTAACAGTGGAGACAGGGAGAATGAGAGCAAAGATGGAGGGATGGGAGAAGAGGAAAGAGACGAGTGACCTGCCCACTGTCACACCATTAAGTGGAAATCTAGTGTTTGTGCTAAACCAGAGAATGGAAGAGCAGAGCCCACATTACCAGGGACTATGACAGACTCTTCTGCTCTCTGATATACTGTTATATATCTTAGAGGGCTTACACTTTCAAAACTTCCTGTTTTAATGAACATATACTCTGGATACTACTTTTTCCTTAAAAGTGTGAAAAAACATTAAAGGACAAACCACACTTACCTGAATGTAATATATTCCCTTTTCCTGAGCATACATCATTAGAAAACAATAATCTAGGTTTTGCTTTGTTCTCCATCTGAAATAATTTTCAAAAATGAGTTAGGAATCAGACTCAAATTGAGCAAAACAAGATTAAATGTAAATATTTTATAATGCATACTGCAAGTTATATTTTATAATACATATACATACATTACATATACACCGTAGACAATACATATATACAAAATATCTGTCAACCCATAGATACATGTGTATCTATATACATAAACACAGGATACACCCATGTAGGAGAGCACGAAAGAGAATTCACTTTTCTCTAATGAAACCTTTATCAAAACACTAATCATCAAGATGTCCTGAGGAAAAAAGGAGTCCTTCAAGTAATTTTGGGAAGCACATATATTCCCCTTCTGGAGACATATTCGTATATTAGAGGCACTGAAACATACAACAGTAAATGCATTTGTTGAATAAAAAACTTTTTAGTCTAATATTTTCCAAACTCCTTTGACTGAAGGCCCTTTTTTCAAATGTAACATCTTAATGTCTGCGGGAAATTATGCTTCAAAAACTATACTTTGGGGGTCACTGCTTTGCATGAAGGCAGAAATTAATAAATATTGTACTGAATGCTTAAAAAACCCAAAACACATTAAAGTTTACAACATTAAGTCCTTTCAGGGAATTCCTGGTGGCCTATAGAAACAGACTAATGTTGAATAAGAGAAGTGGTTGTAATAGTTTTTAAAAACAACAACAATAATAAAAGGTTCAAATCATACTAAGTAAACTTCTCCAGAATATACCTTATAAGTTGTTCTGAATTTAATGAGTCCACCTAGAATTTACTGGAACCATTCCTAAATTTTTTAAAACTAAAATTATATTTATTGAGAGACAACCAATTACATGGATATATCTGTCTTTCAGACAAATTAACAACTCAAGAAATATAATCTCTTCCCAAAACACTATTTTTTCCTTTTTTCTTGTGACATAAAATCCAAAACTAATGAATATCTCTTAGATTACATTGTTTTTAATAACAACACAATAAAATTTTCCAGTCCTTCAATTTTAGAGATTTAGAGACAAATAAATCCCAACTGGATTTTTACATTATTACGATATAAATCTGCAAAACAGTAATATTGTTATCACTTCCACTGAATCAGTTCTCATTTACTTTGCATACAGATATGAGGTATCTATCTGAACTAGCTTTTGAATTATTATGACTATATTCTTAAGTCAGAACCCCACAGAACAGCAGTTATAAAAGTTATTGATCGGGGTGCCTGGGTGGCTCAGTGGTTAAATGTCTGCCTTCAGCTCAGGTCACGATCCTGGGGTCCTGGGATTGAGCCCCTGCATTGGTCTCCCTGCTCAGTGGGGAGCCTGCTTCTCCCTCTCCCTCTACCACTCCCCCTGCTTGTGTGTGCTCTCTCTCTAAAATAAAATCTTTAAAAAAAAAAAAGTTATTGTGCATACCAAATTCAACCTCTCATTAGAAACTGCACATAATTTCCAATCAAATAACCAAAAATTCATTAGCTCTCACAAATTAGCTGAACCCTCAAATGTGCTACATTTCAGTAAATACTTATTACATGGTAAACATTTGCTACATATCATACTCACAAGGGTGGGGGGTCTTAAACAACACAGGCTCACCTTACTCTTTCTTTGGAGTCTCCAAATGTCTCCTTTAAGTTTGTCAGGTCAGGATAATAGCTTTCAGGCGGGGATATTATTTCCACCAAGCCAGAACTGATTTCTTTAGAAAATCTACCATAAGAAAGGTAAGCTGAGTTAATTTAATTAATTTAAGTTAATTAATTAATTTAAGTTCTGTGGGATTTTCTTTATCTCAGTGCTCAACTTATTGTTCTTAACATAAAACAAAGGCATACTGTTAGGATCACTGTGTGCTCATGGAAGTCGCTCATCATTGATTTTATTTGCCAGAAAATACAAATTTTTCCAGTAACACAAAGGGTGTTTTTTGTTTTTTTTAAGAATGCTTTAAAAGCAGTGTAAAAAATGCTACTATCCTTAGAGAAGCACAGAAATCCTAAGCCAACTGCACAGATTATATTCCTAAAAAGTATCAGAATTTTTAAAAAGTAAATGAAGGTATCACAGAAAATAGAGAATTGAAGAAAACCAAGCCAGTGAATGTGTGTGTCTATCTCGTACTTTGAGCAATGTCTGGAGGAATCTGGTTGTCCTAACTGTTGGCAGTATTAATGACCTTAGTGGGAAGACACCAGGGAGGTTGCTCTCTCTCCTACAACGCAGGGAGCGGTCCTCACAACAAAGAATTATCTAGCCTCAAATGTCAATAGTGCCATGGTTGAGAAAACCTGTTAGAAAGTTTTTGTAATCAGCTTGACTAACTCAAATGTACCTCCTTCCACATTTGCATTCTCCCTCACTTAGTTTTTGAAATCTCCACAAAATCCTTGTGCAACTACCTGCCTTCACACAAATGTTGTTCATGCTTAGTTGGACTTTTTCTGGGCTTGGTGTTCCTACACGTTGAGGAAGAAGAGAATCGACAAAATCACAGCATAAGCCCCACAGACCTGCCCATGCAGTCTAGGGGAGCAGGGGCCAATAATTACTGCCCTGCTCCTGTATTTGAGGAATCTATACTAAATTGTGCTTATATATAAAGGGCTGCCAAGAAATTGAGCACTTGAGGAAAAAAAAACCGAACAAATGCACAATTTAGTTCTGAACTCTTCATATATTTTTTTAAATTTCTGGTTTTTGCATTTTGATAGACAAAGTAAGAACCACATTATTTTAAATCTAGAGTTGACCAGTAATTGTTGCTTCTTTCGGTCTTTTTAAGTAAAAGATACATCTTTGGGGCAAAACAGGTAAAAGTCAATGAAGAAACCCTTATTAACGACTAGTTTTTATAGCACTTAATATTAAAACTATGAAGGCAGTATTATAAAAACTAATCATATCTGAAACTTACTAAGCTTTCCACTTACTTAGCTTTCCACACTTACTGTGTGCCTTGCTCACAGTAAATTGTTACTCAATCTTTGCAGAATAGAACCGATTTAGCCATAGTCTAGCACTGAGGTTTCAAACAACTACAAGACTACCTATCCTGACAGCAGAAAGTTTTTTTCTTGGTTGACTGAGGGCGAAAGACATAAGTAATCTCATAAGACCCTCTCTATGGTCTTCAAGATCAATAATTTGACAGTTACATATGTGTGACATTCAAATCTTTTCTATATTGAAATACACCAATTTATCCAGAAAACCATATATGCACCTACTTTATGACAAGGTAAAAGACCAATGATAGTGACCCAATGAAGTCTAAGCTCCACAGAGAAATGCACTAAAAAAAGGGCATTTTCTTTTAGCAAAAAGCCAGTAAGTAACAGTGACTAAAATATTATCATTTTCATAATTAAGAACTTACTCTTTCTCCAGGTTGGCTACAACGCTGTGTACATAATCACTATCTGTCTGGGAAAGAAAAAAATTACACATACGTTAATGTTTTTAAATTTCTTTTTAACTTTTAATAATGAATTCAAATAAATAATTACAACATTCAATGAAAGCATTACATTCAATTTTCAGACAACTTATGGATTTGCATTTCTGTATTCTACTTTATTGCGCTACATCATGGAGTTTTTACTAATTCAATAAGCAGATGTCAGTTTTTATTACTTTCAATGGTTTCTGATTCAGTAGAAAAAACTGAGTACAGAAATTATTTCTACTTCTTCTGAAACATCTGAACTATAAGTAGTGAATAAATAACAGATGCAGCATGCTACAGAGAAAGATTTCTCCACTTGCAATCATAAAACTTAGGTTCAGATTTGTCTCTGTAGCTACTTGGCCTGTATAATTAAGTGAAAGTAAGTGACTTCTGTGAGCTTTCCTTTCCTATCCTATTAAAAAAATAAAAGGCAGGAGGAAACAATACCTTTGAGACTATGACACTTAATGATAAAACCATGTAATAAAAAGCTGTTATTGTCTGCATTATCATCATTATTATTAGGCTGATAATTAGAACCCGAGTCAAAAGCACTTTACCCAGAGTTAGAAATAAATGCTTATCAGACCTGTGTATTTTTAAATTATATACAAATAGGGGTGCATCGGTGGCTCAGTCAACTATCTGACTCTTCATTTTGGCTCAGGTGAAGATCTCAGGGTCCTGGGATCAAGCCCTGCTTTGGGCTCTGCACTGAGCGTGGAGCCTGCTTGGGATTCTCTGTCTTCCTCTCCTTCTGCCCCTTCCCACCACTCATGCAGTCTCTCTCTCACAATCAATCACTCAATCAATAAATTATATACAAATAGAAATCTAATACTCCCTACCAATTTTAAATACCTTTGCGGCTTATATTAAAATGCTCAACTGTCAAAAGGAATCAATGATATACATAAAATATGATCTAGGATATAAAGACTGCCAAAACACTTAATACTTGAAAACAAACCAAAACAAAAAGATAAAGCTTAACCTGGAACTTACAAAACTATTAAGCTATAAAAATGGTTGTATAGAAGATTTTCTGGAAAAGTATTTTAATTTCTGTTAATTGAAAGTGATTCCTATTTTTCTTATTAAATTTAAAGACTTAGGAATGAGACAGTAAGACCACATCCTTCAAACTCTTAACAACTATGGAGATACAACCAGCACACAACTCAAAACCCTCTGTACTTTCCCTATGTAAACCCAAACATTAGTCAGTGATACCTCTTTTAGTAAATTACTCACTGACATGTTTAACTAATGAGTATCTTACCACTCATCAGCTATAAGTTTGGAGAATATGAACAGAATTGGTTTATATAAATTTTAACATTTAAGCAACAACCTGAAATTCAATATGGTAAGCATTTACTTAGGGCCAGTGATGGGCTAGCCAAGGAAAAAGGAATACAGGATGAACAAGACCAGCTCCCTCTCCCCAAAAGGCTGTCCAAGAGGTGGGCCAAGATGATTAAGTGGATGCAAATGTAGATTTATTGTGTAATGTGTAATAAAAAGTATGGAACTCAAGTGAACCATATCTAATATTATCTAATATCATAGGTAATCTTATTTTTGCATGCTAATTGACATAACTAGCAAAAGATTTGCTTAAATGACTATAACTGGTGTCACTTTTCTATGAGAGAATCCATCCTTTCTGGTATTAGCTAAGGGGCCTGTTCTGGGAAGCCTCTGAAGAAAGCTAAATGCCTACATGGCACAGAAAGAGCCAGGCCAGTCCTTCTCTCCATAGGGCCTCTCCTTGCCTCCCCCTCACCAGTCCCTGTTGACAGTAAGATAGGCAGGATCTGAGATCCTGGGGCTGGCTTGCTTTAAATTGAGAGCACTTTTTCCTGAAATCTTTTTTAAAGGCATGTGGAGACTTTTTTTTTTTTTTTTTCCCCATGTGGAGACTTTTTAAGAGGCAGTATTATCACCCAATTCTGGGAATGTATCTGTGAATATAAGACTGAGATGTGTGTATTCTAGAGGGTATGTGAGTGGTATGCTTGGGATAGGTAGGAAGGAAAGTGGACATACATAGAAAAAGAAGGAACATTTTTTCCTGGAGAACCAAGTGTTCCTTATGGTTAGTTAAATATTTTTATATTAAAACTAAGATATTATTAATACATACTGCAACAGGGATGAACCCTGATGAACATGACGCTAAGTGAAAAAAGCCAGTTACAAATGTGTGTCCACATATTGTATGACCGTGTTTGCATAAAATATCCAAAACAGAACAATCCATACAAACAGAAAATAGATTAGTCGTTGCCTAGGGCTGCGGGAGAAGGGTATTAATGGTTATTAATGGGTGCAGGGTATTAATGGGTGATGGTTAAGGGGAACAGAGTTGTTTTTTGAGGTGATGAAAATGTTCTAAAACTGATTGAGATGATGGCAGCATAACTATGATTTTAAATAGGTAAATTACAAAAATGAGGATTAGAAAAGTTAAATGTAAAACCCAATTTTCTATTTTTTATATATTTCAGGGAGTATAATATGCTATTAATAGCATATATGTGTAATCTGCAAATATTTTATATAAGTACAAATTGGGAATACATGATCAATGGAATGCTGAACAGAAAAGCTTAGATCATATTGCTGCACTGGACCAGTTCTGGTGAGACAGACTACAGAATGCTCCATCTCAAACCAGCAGAATGCCCATTCTTTTCATGGAACATAAATTCAGTAAAGTTGCAGGACACAGAGTTAACAATTTTGAAACAATTGAAATGAAGAGAAACAAAACAACAATTTGAAATCTGTTGTGTTTCTCTTCACTAATAATGAACTATCAGAAAAAATTTTAAGAAAGTCATCCTATTTATAATCGCATCAAAAAGAATAAAATACCTAGGGATAAATTTAACTAAGGTGGTAAAAGATCTGTACTCTGAAAACTCTAAGATACTGATGGAAGAAATTGAAGACAACACAAACAAATGGAAAGATAACCACGAGCATGGACTGGAAGAATTGTTAGTGTCCATACTATTTTCAAAACAGTCTACAGATTTCAATGCAATCCCTATCAAAATACCAATGGCATTTTTCTCAGACCTACAACAAATAATCCTAAAATTTGTATGTAACCACAGACGACCCCAAACAGCCAGAGCAATTTTGAGAAAGAAGAAAGAAGAACAAAGTTGGAGGTAACATGATCCTGATTTCAAACTATACTCCAAAGCTATAGTAATCAGAACAGTATGGTACTGATAGAAAATAACAAATAGGTCAATGGAATAGAAGAGAGGCCAGAAATAAACCCACCCTTAAACGGTCATTCAGTCTACAACCAAGAGACAAGAACATACAAAGGAGTAAAGACAGTTTCTTTGATCAGTTGTGTTGGGAAAACTGCACAGTCACATGCAAAGGAATAAAACTGGACCACTATCTTACACCATACCAAAAAAATTAACTCAGAATGCACTCAAGACTTAAGAGATGAAACCATAAAACTCCTAGAAAAAATAGGCAGTGAACCCTTGGACATAATTCTCAGAAATGTTTTTTTGATAGGTCTCCTCAGACAAAGGAAACAAAAGCAAAAACAAACAAATGGAACTATATCAAACAAAGAGTTTTTGCACAGCAAAGGAAACCATCAACACAATGAAAAAGCAACCTACTGAATGGGAGGAGATATTTGGAATGGTTGCTACCCAAAATATATGAAGAAGTGGTACAACTCAGTAACAAAAACCTCAACAACCTGATTTAAAAATAGGCAGAAGACCTGAGTAGACATTTTTTCCAAAGAAGACACACACACACACTGGCACGTGAAAAGATGCTCCCTATCACAATTATCAGGGAAATGCATCTCAAAACAGCAATGAAATACTACCTCAAACCAGTCAGAACAGCTAGTATCAAAAAGACAAGAAATAACAAGTGTTGGCAAGAATGTGGAGAAAAGGAAACCCTTGTGTACTCTTGGTGGGCAAATAAATAGGTGCAGCCTCCTGTGGAGAACAGTACAGAGGGTCCACAAAAAATTAAAATACAGCTACCATACGGTCCAGCAGTTCCACTTCTGGGTATTTATCTAAGAAAACCAAAGCACTAATTCGAAAAGATACTATGTATCCCAATGTTCAATGCAGCATTATTTACAATAGGCAAGATATGGAAGCAACTCAAGTGCCCATTGATAGATAAATGGACAAAATGTGATCTACAAAGTGGAATATCATTTAGCTATAAGAAAGAATGAAATCTTGCCATTTGTGATAACACAGGAGGACCTATAGTAAATAAGCCAGACAAAGACAAATACAATATAATTTCACTTACATGTGGAATCTAAAAAACAAAACAAATTTACAAACAGAATAAAAACAGATCATAGATATGGAGAATTGGTGGGGGTGGGGTTAAACACGTGAAGGTGATTAGGAGGTACAAACTTCCAGTTATAAAATAGGTCATGGAGATGTAATGTACAGCATAGGGATATGGTCAATAATATTGTAACAACTTTGTATGGTGACAGATGGTAACTAGACCTATCATGGTGATCATTTTAAAATATATAAAAATACTAAATTGCTATCTTGTACATCTGAAACTAACATAATATTGTATGTCAATTATAATCCAATTTTTTAAAAAGTTTGAATTAGTCAACAGCCCATAAGATAGTCTCTAGAAAGAGGTCATAAAAATAAAAACAATATCCACCACCTTGGACAGTTACCTCCTAAACAGCCTCTTAAGATTTTGTATCATTAGGTTGATAGCATTGTACAAATCTTCTCTATCCTTACTCATTTTTCTTTATTCATTCTATCGAGTAATGAAAGAAATTACACTTCAATTCTCAAAGATGGTGGAAGAATTTGCTTAGAATTCAGAAGCCCACTGATCAAAGGTCTAGAGCCCATGATGTAGCAGAAAGTCAGGCACACAAGCAGTGTAGACCGGCCCTCAGGCTGCT